CGATTAAAATTATTAAACGCACCCACGCGAACCGGGTAACATCGAAACGAGAGACGAGGAGATCAACCGAAATCGCGATAATTAACGAAAATGCGGTGTGGAAACTCTGTCTATTGTAATACCGTCGACGAAACGTTGCAATAATAAACTGTCGTTGCCTCTTAACGAACCTCCTGATCGTCCAAGTTGCCTTAAAAATCAGTCGACGAACCGTTGAACACGATACATTCCATCATTTACATTTTTAAGTTACTTGAAAAATTACCCAAATTAATTTATTAACTGTCAGAAATTATTATTATTTGCAAGTGTTGGTATATGTTGCAATTCTTAATTGAAATTAGTTTAACTGCATTGTAGAGCTCTCCCCCATTCAAACGACACCCCACATGACCATATTTGCTCCCACAAATACAATCCAAAAATCATATGATTTTTCAAAAAGATATATTTTGAATTGTGAATAATATTAACCCATGATATGAACAAGAATTAATACCAGAGACGAGTAAAATAGGGAAAAGTGTTTAATTCTTGTTTATATCATGGATATTATTCACAAGTCAAAGTATGCGATGTTTGGATTATTTTTGTGAGAGCAAATATGGTCGTGTTGGGAGTCGTTTGAATGGGAAAATGCTCTACAATGCAGTTAAACTAATTTCAATGTTTAATTCTTGTCTATATCAAGGATTAATATTATTTATAAATTATAAAATTTTTGTGAGAGCAAATATGGTCATGTTGGGTGTCGTTTAAATTGAAAAAAGCTCTACAATGCAGTTATACTAATTTCACCAGTTGTAAATTGGAAAATATATTTTTAACTTATTTTAGATGGACTTTGAAAGTTTCTGGACAATTTCTAAGGACGACAATACCGCCAAAAAGGGTGATTAATTCCCCCAGAAGCCCAATATCAGTTTCAATGGGAAAATATTGCTCTTAAAGTGGTATTAGTCGTAAAATCTTGACCGAATCCACCTATGAAGAAGACAATTGCAATCGTCGTACGACTTCCTCGATGCAATACGGCTCCTGTAAACAACGATCCACGGTACCACGTGAAGCAGCAAAGACATTAAGGTACTTGTTTACCGTGGTATATCTTTGTCTTGCGTAATAAAACGTTCCGTGGCCTCAAGACGAAGATACTCCTCCAACGTTGCTCTTTCTAACCGTGTAGTTATTTTTGTTGAAACTCCGGCTTAATGACACTGTTCCCAATATCGATTTAACGTTCAAAGGCTACAATTTATATCGCTTCGATAGACACTCTAAGACCAGTTCGACTTCCCGAGGCGGCTGTGTTCCGATAGTTGTCCGTGACATATTCCCCCCAGTCGTTCGATTAAAGTGCACGCTGAACGGATTAACGACGCTTACAGGGTGTCTTCGACTAGTTTTAGAAAAGAAACTAGAAACACCAAAGGTCTTTTTTATGACGATTTTTCGAAAACTGTCGAAAAAGTAGACTCAGCTAGTAATAATTGGAACGAATGAAGGATGCATCGAGTCAATAGAGAGTGTTTTTGTTAGTATAATTGCACTGTTTAAAAAAAATTAAAAACACCAATGGTGTTTTTTTGTGACGATGATTTTCCGAAAACCCTCGAAAGGTTGGCTTAACATGCATCGAATCTACGGAAATTGCTTCTGTTAATTTAATTGCATTGCTTAAAAAAACCTAAAAACACCAATGGTCTTTTTTTGTGACGATGATTTTCTGAAACCCCTCGAAAAGTTGACTTGACATGCATCGAATCTATGGAGATTGTTTTTGTTAATTTAATTGCACTGTTTTAAAAAACCAAAAAACACCAATGGTGTTTTTTTATGACAATTTTCTAAAGACCCTCGAAAAGATGACTTGACGAGTAATGATTCGAATAAATGAAGGATGCATCGAACCTATGGAAATTGTTTCTGTTAACTTAATGGGGTTCTCGAGGTATTTAAATTGATTTCAGATAGGGGGGAGATCGTGGGACAGTGTACGTCCCGTTTTTCTGCAAGGTTGTACAAGCCCGACACGCGTCAGATTCGATTAAACTCTTTGACCGAGCGTCATCGACTCCTGGGGCGACCGTGTGGCTCATTATAGAGGCTCAAACTGCCAGAACGGAATCTGGCAGACACAGTGTGTTGTCCGTTCATTAACTGAGCCCTCGCCAAATGCTACATTCAAATGCTTCTCCGTCGCCTTGAATGCGTCGAATCTTCGAGAATTCCGATGTTACGTATCTCAAAAATTTTGTGAGTCGCTAAATAAATAGATACAAAACTAATTTTGCGTCTCAAAACGATTCATTAGTGTTAATAGTAATGTTAAACTATTAACAATGATAAATCGATAGTAAAATTATTAAAAATTTTGAGAAGCAAATTGTACACATGATCCTTAACAAGAAATAAATAAATAAAAAGCAAATTTTGCTTCTCAAAACGATGCACTAGTGTTAATAGTGATGTTAAACTATTAACAATAATAAATCGACAGTAAAATTATTAAAAATTTTGAGAAGGAAATTGTACACACGATCTTCATTTCGAAATAAATAAATAAAAAGCAAATTTTGCACTTTTAAACGATGTTGGAACATTAATATTAATATCAAACTATTAACAATAATAAATTCTTACCAAAATCACCAAAAATATCATTGCAAAACTCATGGAGAGAAAAAGAAACACAATTTAACTGGAATAAATCGAACCATTTGGTCGCCATCTTGGATCCAAGATAGAATCTCGAATAAAAGTACAAAATAAACAAATAAAAATTAAATTTGCAATTCTAATTCAATGTTCTAGCACTAATATTGATATTAAACTATTAACAATAATAAATTCTCTTCAAAATCACCAAAAATATCATTGTAAAACTCATGGAGAGAAAAAAAAACACAATTTAACTGCAATAAATCGAGCCATTTGGACGCCATCTTGGATCCAATATAGAATTAGCAAAACAAAGTACAAAATAAACAAATAAAAAGTAAATTTAACACTCAAATTCAATGTTCTATCTCTAATATTAATGTCAAACTATTAATAACAATAAATTCTCCTCAAAATTACTAAAAATGTCATTGCAAACCTCGTGAGAAGAAGAAAAACACAATTTAATTCCAATAAATCGAACCAATTGGACGCCATCTTGGATCCAAGATAGAATCTTCCATCAAAGTACAAAATAAACAAATAAAAAGTAAATTTAACACTCTAATTCAATGTTCCATCACTAAAATTAATATTAATATCTAGTAACAATAATAAATCACCAAAAATATCGCTGTAAAATCGAGGAGTGAAAGAAAGACGCATCTGAATCGAACCAATCGGACGCCATCTTGGATCCAAGATAAAATAACGGATAAAAATCGAGGAAAAATTCAGGATTCGTAGATGGGACCACCGACGGCGTAACGTGATTGTCAGCTGTCCGAAAACGAAACGAAAATACCATTGACATAGATTTTACCCAGTCAGAAATAGAGGAACCGGAAGTGGAAGGGCCGAATCTTTCGATTTATAGTAGCTCGAGCGTGGGAGAACATCGTCGCGGAGCATTAATATTTCCTGTCCCCGGCTGGAAACTTTCGTTCCCGTAATTTTCTTCGCCGTCGAAAGACCTTTCGAACGTGCAAGATTAAAACGACGAGAGTTTCGTGACAGGATGCAGAATTTTCCAGCGGTCGACGAGGATGTCTGAATCATTCACTCCTCCGAATGGATCATCGACGAGCGAGAGGAGGATCGCGACGTCGAGAATTATTGCGCGGGAATAAATGGAACAGAATTTTATTTTAAAAGGAGACCCCCGGTAAACCCTGCGATCCATCATGGCGCACCAAATCGTAATTATCGCGAGTGAATTCAACGGAACGAAGCGAAACGGAAGGAGCGATTACTCCCGGAAGGGATACGCTTCGCTCATTCTGACGGCGGAAAGGAGGAAATTCGAGTCGCCTCTCGAAAAAGCTTGAAAGGGGGCGGAAGAATTTAATCTGCGACGAAGTAGCCGGGGCATTTCGAGAAATTAAAGGGAAACGCAAACGTTCTTGGGGAGTCGCGTTGTTCGAGCACCGGGAGATCGGCCTTTTTAATCCGCGAGGATGGAGAATAAGGTCAGGAACGAACCCGGAACGCGAGAAATCGTCGACGAGATTTCGATATGTTTAGGGCCGACTGCATCCTTGGGGCGACTAAAGGGTCGTAGGCTTTTGAATTAATTTATAACTCTGTGGTTAAACAAAATTATTCATTATTGTACACTCTTTCTCTATCTTAGATAGTTTCAAAATTGTTTCAGAGCTGTAAATGTTAAGATTTGGTAGGTACAATGGTCCTTTCTCGAGTATATTTTATTTAAAATTATATTTGACAATTTATAACTGTGAAATTAGTTTAGATGCACTGCGGAGCATTTTTCGAGTCAAACGACACCCCACATGACCATATTTGCTATCACAAATGCAATCCAAGAATCGTATGATTTATAAACAATATTAAACTTTGATATGGACAAGCATAACACATTGAAATTAGTTTAACTACATTGTAGAGCTTTTGCCGATTCAAACGACACCCAACACGACTATATTTCCTCTCACAAATACAATCCAAAAATTCTACAATTTATAAATAATATTAACTTTCGTTATAAATAAAAATTAAAGATTTAAATTAGTTTAACTGCATTGTAGAGCTTTTTTCGATTCAAACGACTCCCAACATGACCATATTTGCTCCCACAAATACAATTCAAAAATCATGTGATTTGTCAAAAAAACACACTTAATGAATTGAGAATAATATTACCCCATGATATAAACAAGAATTAACACCAGGAAAATACAAGTAAAATAGAGAAAAGTGTTTAATTTTTGTTTATATCATAGATATTATCGACAATTTTCCCGTACCTGCCTCGCTCAGGTACCACTTCAACGAACGTTAGACAGAGAAATGGCTTGATTGAAGCGAAAGACACCTACCCCAAAGTGGTCATAGTAACGATGGTGTACCAGAATGCAGCGGGTATCGAGGTGAAGTTCGTACCGTCCACGTTCTTCTCCGCGTAGAACATGACGGTGGCGAATATGATGATGGCCATGGCCAGTGAGAACACGAGGAACCCGAGCTCCGAGGCGCAGGACTTTAACGTGTAACCGAGGATCCTAAGACCCTGCGAGTGCCGGGAGAACTTGAAGATCCGGAACACGCGGAAGACGCGCAACGTGACGAACGCGCCGGACACGTCGTCGTTGTCGGTGATACCGAGGCCGATGTAATACGGCAATATGGCGACCACGTCGATGATGGACATCACCGATCTGGCGAACTTGCAACGGCTGGGCGCGGCGAACAGCCTGAGCAGGTACTCGGCGGTGAATATCATCACGCACGCGGTGTCCAGACAGAAGAACACGATCTTGTAACGCTCGCCGCATGAAAGCGTACCGGCGCGTCCCGGACGATTACCGCACGGCACGGTCTCGACCACGTTCGCCAGCACGCTCACGGCGATGAAGAAACCGGTTACGTAGTAAAACACCAACGCGGCGGTCGAGATATGGGGATTCTGAAACGCCCTCCACATCTTCTGCCTGATGTCCGGCAGCTGCTGCAGCGTCTGATCCCCGTTCTCGCTGAGCTTGTCGTCCATCAGCCTCTCGGCGTTCTCGCGCTTACGGTCGCGGTAGTCCTCGTAGCAACAGTCGCCGATCACGTCCGGCAGTATACCGAAAAACGCCAGCTCCTCGTCGTAGCTGGTCAGACACTCGTGCTTCGGATAGTGAAGCTTCCCGGTCCTGTAATAGTTCAATATGTGACGAAAGATGTCCGGATCCCGGTCGAAGAAGTACTCCTTGCTCTCCTCGTCGTAGAAGAACTCGCGCTCGTTCGAGCCGAGAAGAGTGTCCGGATACTTCTCGAGGGTGTTCCTCCAGGTCTCGAACCGACGGCCGCTGACGTTTATCAGGAGCTTCTCGTCGTCTGCCTTGCGGCGATCCTTGGGGATCGGCGGCGGCGGCAGCGGATGCGTGGCGATCGGCACCCAACCGATCGCTGCCGCCCGGGCGAACGGCAGCCACGCTGCCACCGAGGCCATTGCAGAAGGTGCTATGCTACCACTCTCGGGGGATCTCTACCCTCTTCTCTGGTCTATCGCCCCTCGGTAACTTCAGTAGCTCCTTCAAGGTTTATTGCAATCCTCCATGCATCCTCATCGGATGTTCACGAGAGATTAGCTGATGGTGCACCGGCGGCGGCGTTCCCACCAGCGACGGGTCGACGACCAGGACCACGACACCGCGATCCTAGGATCGTGCACGGCCACCAAATCCGTCATCGTACCTCACCATTCCTTCGCCGTTGTCTACGCGATATCAGCCACCACGAGCACCGCCTCCTGGCAACGTGCCTTCCACCATCGTCGATACGTTCCACCTGTTCCCTTAAACACCGCGACCCGGAGTGTCCTCGAGAATCACGGGACCATCCCCGACCGCCACCTGTAAAAACGAGTATCCTCGGTCCGAGCCGCGACGACACGCCCGTAACATTTTCGTTTCTTCCGTCCGGGTGTGGGTCGACCGACGAACCCGGGTCACGTTTTAATTAATCCGCGACGACGGAACAAGAGGCTTCCGCGAGGAGAGAATTCGTGCTGTCGCGCACGCTCTCCTCGCTCTCTCCCCCACCCCCTCTCGATCTGTGTCAATTAACTTCTATCATCCTTGTTTGCCTTTCAACGAGAATGCTCCCTTCGCCGCGAAATCACTTTTTCAGGGGCGGGGGGTGGCGGGTAGAGTCTTAAAAAATCCGGCGGAACTTCGGGATCCACGCTCTTGGAGCATCGTCCGCGAAACGCCTAACCCGGACACGTCGTGAACGCGAAAAGGAATGTTCTCCTTACGCGGGTGCGCGCGTCTACTCCGCCAGCGGGGACGACGTGGAGGATCTCCGTCGGTGGTGCGAATCGTCGATGAGTCCGCCTCCTCCCTTTCGCTCGGTCATCTCCGGGATCCTCTGATCTTCTGACACTTTACCGAGACCCGGTTGCCTACTGTCTTATTTGTTTACAACGTTACACGATCGCGCGTAGGAACATGTTAATCCCGCGTAGACGGCGGTACGAGCACAGAAGAAGAGTACCCACGACGGATCATCGTCCGCGTGAACGCGGAAACTGATCGCGGGTTGCGGCAGTCGCGTGCTGGCCAACACACACGCGAACACACGCGCGCGCGCGCGTGCGTGCGTGCCTACGTGTACGACTGTATGGCACGGTGTGCGTGTGGCGTGTGTGTATATATATATATAAATACTTGTACACGATATACAGATCCGCCGTGTGTCTGTGTGTGTGTATTTTTTTTTTTTTGGGACGGTGTGTGTATATGTGTGTATGTGTCGTGTGTGTGTGTGTGTGTGTGTGCGCGTCGGCACGCTCGCAGGCTGGGCGGCCGGACACGTTCGAGCTGGCTCTGGGTACCCGGCTCGGTGGGCGACTCGCGACTGAGCTGCCCCGCGGTGCGGTGCGTCTGTCGCGCGGTGGCAAGGTGGCGAGGTGGCTGGCACCACCTCCGGAAGGCAAGCGTGCCGCTCTCGGAGCCTCGAACCTCGGAGCCGCGACGCAGCGCCGAGCGAAACCGGTCACCTAGCCAAGGTCCAAATTGATTTTTACGTCGCGGCGACGGTGGTGCCGCCTGCCGGCCGGCAAACCGCTTCCCCGTTGCCCGGGCAACCCTCAACTATGACGTCATAAAACCCCTACTCTCCAACCCCCTTTCTGGCTCCTCTCTTTCTATCCGCGACCTCAACGCTCCTCGTCATCCCATTCGACGTCTTCCCTCCTTTGCGTGTCTGTTTGTTCCGCGAGTCACCTCCTCTTCCGTGCTTCTCCCTCGCCGGCTCGCATCTACGAATATAAAATGCACGTCAGATCGGGCACGCATTGCACCAGAGCGATAGGGCTCGATATGCTTGTTATATGAACCAAGACAGAGCATCTTGGATACCCAAGATGCCTGATTTAACCTGTAACCTATTTGTCTGGTCCTCCTCGAAGCTCCAGGTCGCCAGTTACCTCCTCACTGGATCACATCTGTAAATAAAAATATACGTCAGAACATTCAATTGCACTAGGACAATCGACAGACTCCATAGTCATTCTGTGAACAAAGTTACACATGCTAGAATCCATCATCAGACCTCCAAGAACTGCAACTGCCCTTTGCTATAGCACAAGAGTAGATTTTCCATAAGAAAAGGCATACCTAGCTCATGGAAGCCAGCTTCCAATTTGTGGTTCTAGACAAACTCGTTACAAATATAATATTCCCTCAGCCCTACCCTCCTCTGCCAGGTCCACCTGCCCTAACTGGTAAAGTAAGCAGTTGTACCGTGCGAAACTCAAACTTGGAACCCTGTTACAAGACAAATACTACACCGGGGTACAATGGACGTGTGCTCCCTGTGGCGGAAACCGGGGGGGGAACAGCCTCGATCCCTTCCAGGAATTAAACGTTACATTGAGGGGTAGTCGGACGCTGCAAGGAATCTAGACTGCACGAGGGTTGGTAGGCTGGTGCGCTACTTAGAACGCGGAAAAAACGGAGCGTGGTGAAAGCGAAGAGTGGGAGGAACGTAGACATTGGTCCACGCGAATCTCCTAAACCACTTTGCGTGATCCATGAGTGGTACCCCGGTGAGCCTAGCCGTCAGGTGAATTTGTGGCGCTAATGAACGTGCCGAAAGGGTGCAACCTCAAAATGCAAGTGTACCGCCTTCCAGCGCTAGGTGTAACGTCCGTTTAAGTGCGGCTAAGCTCGTGCTTTCTTTGCTCCCCGGCGAACCCTCGAAGCCCCGTTTAATTCTCCGGGTCTATCACTCTTCTACCCTTGGCTCAATAGCCTTTGAACACGCTTAGCGTTACTGTCTAGCTTATGCAAATAATTGCTATCCGATTCTACAATTTTTAAATCAATATCGTCAAATATTTGTAATAGAATAGGTAAAGAAAGCATTTCTGAGGTTTTATCTAAGGATTTGAAAGGGTGGCTCAACGATTCGAGCCACTCGAAAGCTTTTAATCGGATTTCAACTTTTCTCCAGAGAAGAGCAACAATCCCCTTTTTTGGTGGGGCACAGTTGGATATAAAGATGGGAAATGAGTAGTGCTATATGCTTGCAAAGCTCTGGTCGCTTTAAAAATATGTCTTCGAATGTGTTATCTTGGTTCTATTAATTTTCTTTACTGGTGATGAAGGTCTCTCAGCTGTTTATCTGTACTAGAAATGATAAAAGAAAGATGAACGTTGTTAATGGAGAAATGGGGAGGATATTTTATCAGGAATAAAATAAATAGGTGGTGGACTTACCATGAATGATTGGGATCATTTGGGAACCTGGAAGAACAGACGTTCAGGTTATTGCAACCATTACTCTTTACTAGAAAGGTGCAATTGTGTTTATTGCTGGGTCTAAGCAAAAATAGAAATAAAAAGGTATATGGAAGCTACTCTAACAGACCTAGTCTTGATCTTGAGTTTGATTTAAAAGTGGAAAGGTGTTTCCTGTCAAGGCTGGACCAATCTTGCAACCAGCTTGGGATAGGGAATTGTTTTCACTTGACTTACACTCCTCAGTATGCAGTGCCTCTGTTGGTGATGAACTCTTCTTCCAGGAACAGCAAAGTAATGATAAAACAAACAAACGTGAATCTATTCTCAAATACATGTAAGAAATTAATTGTTTTTAAAAACTTCTCACCGGTGTAAAGAGGCAATAAGGAGGCAAGGTTTCAAAGATGATCCAGGAGTCTTGCAATCTCTGCAGTTCTGTTTATGCTTCAATTAGGACGTCGAAAGAATGGGGAAGAGACTGCAGTTGTCTCGTTTCGCTTTCCTATTATTTCAGAAATTCTATGGTCAATTACCTAGTTGCAACGTCGATGCAACAATATTTTCTTTGATAACGTCGGGTATACAGGGTGTTTGTCCACCCCTGGGCGATTCTAGAGGCCAAAATAAGACGAAAATCAAGAATAGTAAATTGTTGATTGAAGCTTCGTTAGAAAGTTATTAACAGGTACGCCTCTAGATAGGCAACTTGCGTAAGGCGCAACTGTTAATAACTTTTTAACGGGCCAAAGGGTGAGAAATTGTATTCTTGATTTTCGTCTTCTTTTGGCCTCTAGAATCCACCATCAAAATTTTTCCCAAGGTGGAGGCTTCGTTAAAAAGATATTGACAATGGCGCCTCTAGATAGGCAACTTGCGTAGGGAGCAACTGTTAATAACTTTTTAACGAGCCAAAGGGTGAGAAATTTTATTCTTGATTTTCGTCTTATTTTGGCCTCTAGAATCCAACCATCAAAATTTTTCCCAAGGTGGAGGCTTCGTTAAAAAGATATTGACAATGGCGCCTCTAGATAGGCTACTTGCGCACAGGCACAAGTGTTAATAACTTTGTAACGGAGCCTCGACCTTGGGAAAAATTTTGATGAGGGATTCTAGAGACCAAAACAAGACGAAAATCAAGAATAAAATTTCCCACCTTTTGGCTCGTTAAAAAGTTATTAACAATGGCAACTTTAGATAGGCAACTTGCGTTCAGGTGCAACTGTTAATATCTTCTTAACGAAGCCTCAATTGACAAATCACCATTCTTGATTTTCGACTTATTTTGCCCCCTAGAATCCCTCATTAAAATTTTTCCCAGGTTTGACCAAACACCCTGTACAAATTCGTTTACATATCAAGTTCGAGAGGAAAACATGAAGTCTCTGGTGCCAGTATTGGCAAATTGAAAATCCACGAATTCACGCGAGATGAATAAGCAGAAGCTTCCAAATATCTAACGTAAATTTAGTCTTCCTAAATTTGTGAAACCTTGATGCTCTTGAAATACACGAAACAGAGGATGTCATTTAGGAAATATAGAAATGGACAGAGAAGCTTTTAAAAATTATAAATAAAATTCTATCGTATAAAAAAGACAGAATTAAAAACTATCGTATCTTAATAAATACTACAGTTCGGAGTATACAAAAAATAGAGATCATGGAATCGTGGAAAGGAGACGTGTTCTCAAAAAAAAAATCAGTGCAACTTCGATTCAGCGACAATGACAGAAATCATGTCATTATTATTCAGACAGCATTTTTTCGATCCGTATTCCAGATCTCACACGTAACATCGACGTCTCTGTGTTCCTATTTAATAACATTATACAATTATGTACGTACGAATGTATAAAATTCTGTTTTTGTTTTTTCATTCTTTTCTTTACGACTAATATGGGAATGTACGATCCGTTGCTCGCTGCTAGTGTCTCCGCGACACTATTTTTCATTTTTTTTTTTTTTCATCTTCCTCGTTAGATCATCGAAATATCGTTACGATTTCCTTATATAAATACGACAGTGCAAAAAACTCGTCGAGGACGAGTTCATCGACGTCGGACGAACGCAACAGTGTTCATATCCGGGCGCTAAAATGGCGGCCAATTGTCGAGATTCGTCTTCGATGAACCGGAAGTAACGCCAACGCTACGTTTCGAATCAACGAACGGAAAAACAGACGTTTGCTTGATCGTTCGTTCGACGTCGACGAACCCCATCGTTTTTTTAATTGTCTTTTCTAATGATACTCTTTGCTTGTAATCGGTTACGTTGCGATCATGACGTATCTCGTTATGGCACACCTAAGCGCCTGTCCCCCCGTTGAACAGCGTTTTAAATCGAGTCGTGTGATCAGACTTCTTTAGGATTCGATGCACTAGCGCCCCCTACAACGATAATCAAAGCCGTCGAAATACACAAAAGCACCCAAAATTGTTCAGATTTTCAAGTAAACTGCTCAAACGAGAAGAACGATTGTTATCGTGTTTGATATCTTTTGAGAAAACGAAAGGGGTTAGGTACATTCCAGTTTGTGCAGTTTGGTGTATCTGATCACGTTTAAATTGAACTACATTCCGCATTAATAGACGAAGAAGTCTTACATACTGATCATTGATCGCTGCTAACGGTATGCTATGATTAAGAAACAATGGCCTCTTTCAACGAAGATCACTTTTGCCGCGTTAAGCGTCACGGACAAAGTCTCTTGTTGCCTTTCGAGCGTTACTATTTTACATACTTATTAAAACAAGTAACTACATCACAGTTCTGATGATTTAGTCGTTTGATTTATCGATGCGTTGTATCAGACTTGGGCGCTTTTATAACCTTTAAACGTTACGTGATTCTTAAAATAGAATTGTTAAATCCCTCTGCGATGAAACGTAATAACCGTGTCTGAGGTAACAGAATAATTTCGCTGATACTGTTCGCAATTTCTCGCTTCCGGTTTTTCAAAATAAATTTGCCCAGCTGTGCGTCGCATTGTCCAATTCGATCCTAGAACACTAACGACGACCGTCAGAACCATCATCCTTGGAAACGCATAAAAATTACATTATTAAAATTTACAATTTTAAATTACAATTCATATCAAATACATTGGAATTAAGGATAACGTAGCAGGTACGAGAAACAAAATGGTGGAAATGACGTATAGACGAAACACGACTGAAAACGCAAATGTTCGTCTATGGGTTTCCTTTCTCTTGAAGATACAGGGTGTTGGGCCACTGGTGGAGTAAATTTTAATGTGGGATGGGATTCTAGAGGCTAAAATGAGAGGAAAATCAAGAATACTAATTTGTCGATCGAGGCTTCGTTAAAAAGTTATTAACAGTTGTGCCTGAACGCAAGTTGCCTATCTAGAGGCGCAACTGTTGATAACTTTTTAACGAGCCAAAAGGTGAGAAATTTTATTTTTGATTTTCGTCTTGTTTTGGCCTCTAGAATCCCCCATTAAAATTTTTCCCAAGGTCGAGGCTTCGTTAAAAAGTTATGAACAGTTGAACTAGAGGTGCCATTGTTAATAACTTTTTAACGAAGCCTCGACCTTGGGAAAAATTTTGTTGGGGGATTCTAGAGACCAAAATGAGACGAAAATCAAGAATATCAATTTCTCGATTGGGGCTTCGTTAAAAAGTTATTAACGTTTAAAGTTACGCCTGTGAAACGGGAACCGCGCGCGCTGCGTGCGCGGAGCTTTAAACGTTAATAACTTCTTAACGAAGCCTCAATCGACAAATTACTATTCTTGATTTTCGTCTTATTTTAGCCTCTAGAATCCCATTCCACATTAAAATTTCCCCCACGATTGACTGAACACCCTGTACATGCATCCATGTGAACACAACAGAAAAGAAGCAATCCTCGAAACGTAACGACGCCTATTGGATAATCTCGAAAGTATCGATAGTCGATCCTCGTTATAAATTCCACGTAGCTTACAATCTTATAATCTTATGTACAACGTTCGCTTTTTACGAAATCTGAAAAAGTGTTTAAGTATTGTTCTTAGCGTTTAACGATTCATGGTTTACCTTACGAATTAAAACCATATCGATATTCATACAATTCCCTCGACGTCCCCCAAACAGTGGTGCGCGCGATTTTTAAAAAAATTGCGATTACAGATTAACTTTCTCTTATTTTTTCCCCCCATTTTTCTTTTTTTCATTCAGACGGAATGGATATATTATGCATTGTGTATCACTGACGGGCTTCAAAGGCCCTGTTATGTCAAACTGAGTATTTTTTTTTTTTTGAATACTGATGAATGTAAAAAACAATCGACCGATCCGACAAGCCTAGTTTTACTCGTAGAAACACTTCGAACATTATTATTTTTTTTTTTTTTTTGGTTTTTTCTTTTTGATATTGTTGCTATATAAAATGCGCATGAATCGGAGAAATTTCGTACGGAATATACTTTTTTTTCGTGATAGTACCTTTTCGACGCGTTTTGGAATACGAGTATTCTTTTACAAAATTGCGCAATCTCCTTTCACTCTCTCGCGCATTTACACGCACACATCGCACACGGCAAAACAGTTTCTTACGTATGGAGAACCTAAGAACGGAACGAACAATAACGGAAAGTCGGGGAAAAAAGCAACATCGAGCCCACTACGGATTATTCGCTATTATCAAATACCGAGTCTTACGTCTAAATATATGTTAATAAATACATCGCTCTGAATACACCCAACATGATACATGCATACTGTTATGACACATGGATTGACTTCTTATTACTCGCGTTATTATCGGGCTTGCGTACAGCCAAGATTAGGACCATCGAATCTATCACTCCCGCCAGTCATATTCGCGATGGAACGAGTACGTGAAACTTAAATTAATTTGTTCGAGCATTTTTTTTCCGCGCAGCAAGAGAATTATCCTAATCGTAGAGAAACGCGCCACGACGAAATCATAGCGCGAAACTATAGCAAAAAAAAACCAATCGTTATTTCGTGACCGTAAGAATCGAACGTTAATTGCGGAAGCGAACAATTTGCTCCCCCCGTTCCTCGTACGTAGTTCCAACTGTATGATCAAACGTTATGTAGTCTTTCACTACACCATTACGATAGCTTCCTCACCGCAGAACAGGAAAGGATACTGATCGATCATCGTCTGAACAACGTCTTCCAAATACGGCCTCATTGCTTCGAATCTGCCAAGGTCGTTAAACTCTATAGGTAATAATGTAGGCCACCAGCAAATCGCCAGATTTTTACTGTCCATACTGTTCAATTTGCAGTTCTCAGCCACTCTGAAATATTTATAAAAAGATCAGAACTCTGGTTTTAATTTATTAAAAATAATATAACTTACTTTACAAAATGATGAAATATGAATTTTAGTACATCAAAGTTCACTGGATTCAGCTTATTGAGCATCAAACGTAGAGCAAATAACCTGCAGCTCGGATCTGCAATAAATCCGCAATTTGTCTTGTGATTTAATCATTTTTTCAATCAGATTTAAGAAGTAATATTTACCGTCCATGTTCATACACGTAGCGGACATTGGTTTGTTGATACCACGGGCGCCTAACCAAAACAATAACATTAATAAACCATATTTTCAACAGAGCCACTATATAAAAACTTTACATCTTACCAGAGATCTCTTCCAGTTTGTTCATGCGTTCTTTATCGATTAATGGCGGCAACCTTTTTGAAAAGAAGTCCTTCAAAGCTGTTGCAACCGCGTTCACGGGTATGTCCAGCGAATGTATATCCACATTTCCGTCTAGAGATATGAGGAAATCATGAATCAATTGCACAGATGGATTATTGGATAAGCTTACCTTCCTCGAATTTTTGAAATAGAAGTTCAACGTGAGCTCTATTCCCAGGAACCCTGTATATCCCCTCAGAATCTAACCCTTCGTCCTCGATAAAATGCACGCATTTTTCGAGGAACAAAGGTATACGATTTGTTTCGCTCTGTGCAAAGTCCTCGATCAGAGGCTGCTGCTGCCCTTGACTCAACGTTCCGCCAGTCCCTTTAGTCTGTTTTATTTTCTCCTGCTTCTTCTTCTCCCGCTCCTTCTCCTTCTCCGCGTGTTTCTTGAGCTTCTCCTCTTTCTGACGGCGTTTCTCCAACTTCTCATCCTCCTTCGCCTTCTGTTTGTCCTTCTTCCTGTTCAACTTGTCGCCATCTTTGACTTTGTTCAGGATACCAAACTGGAAACAACAATTTTTAATATAATTTCTTTCTATAGTTGGCTCTTTCACATATCCCCGTTTTACTTACGCTTGGAGAGTTAATTTCTCGCGGTGATGATACATCTAGGCTTGACTCATCATCTGGAATATTTCCAAAATGTTTAATAATTTTGCTACATTGAATCAATGATATCGAATGTTTTACTTACAGGAAGCGCTGAACATATCTTGAGTCACGTGTTTTATGTTGAACGAATGTTGCAACGTTGCAGGTAAATGTTGCTGCGGCGAGGAATTTACATATTTTTTTCGTAGATTAACTGCCAGATGCTTATATTGTTTTGACTTCAACCTCGAAGGGTGCTCCATTTCGCTGGACTCCGAACTATCTGGCGATTCGCTAGAGACTGGATGAAAGGGTAACGTGCAAGCGTTATGGTACACAGGGTGTTCGGCCAACCCTGAGAAAAATTCACATGAGCGATTCTAGAGGCCAAAATAAGACGAAAATCAAGAATAGTAATTTGTCGATTGAGGCTTCGTTAAGAAGTTATTAACAGTTGCGTCTGTAGATAGGTAACCTGCGTTTTCTAACCCAGACGAGCGCTTGTGAGAGCGCGAGCCCTCTGGTGGCGAGCATGGGAGGCGACGCCACAAATAATTAATGCCTCGATTGGAAAAATAATATGAATAATAAATATATTTCTGTGGAGTTTCATGACTCTTCAGAGAAGGGTGACAATTAAAATGTAAAAAGTACCAAGTTCCAAATAAAAATTTCAAATAATAATAAATTGCACTTTAATTTCAATTTTGTCCACGATCACCTAGAGGACAATATTGAAATGTTAGAAAATAAATAGTCACGTCAATTATTTTGTGGCGTTAGTGTTGATGGGTAGGATCTAGGGAAATTTGTAGGAGGACAGAAAAGGAAAGTCGTTCGAGGAAAAATTTTAATGGAAGATTCTACAGGCCAAAATGAGACGAAAATCAAGAATACCAATTTCTCGATGGAGGCTTCGTTAAAAAGTTATTAACGTTTAAAGTTACGCCTGTGAAACGGGAACCGCGCGCGCTGCGTGCGCGGAGCTTTAAACGTTAATAACTTCTTAACAGAGCCTCAATCGACAAATTAGTATTCTTGATTTTCCTCTTATTTTAGCCCCTAGAATCGCTCATGATAATTTTTTTCCAGGGTTGGCCGAACACCCTGTCTGTATACCTATAGCTAAATACACTAAAAGTATTTTACGTTTGATTATTATACCTCCTCTTTCCACGGGATCCCCTCGCCAATTTTTATCTTCCTTAATATTGTAATTCAGGCTAACAATACCGTCTCCGCTCCCCATACTAACCAAAGATGGAACTTTGGGCGCAGCGACTGGTATTGCGGTGCGTTTTTTACGTATTCTTTTATGCGTCGCTGGTTTCTTATTCGCTTTAATTAGGACATCGGCCATCCTTTGTCTCTCCAAAGAACTACCCCCTGAATCAGAATCGCTGTACGCTGTAAAACAGAAATACACAACTAGTACCCGTATACGCGCAAATTTTGAGGATTTTCTTTTTTTTTTATCTAATCCTTACAGGGTTGACCCTTCTCGCGTCTATGGCGTAGCTTAGGCTTATTGTTTCCAATCGAATCTTGGACTCTGGCGTACGTGTAATCGCCATCGTAAGACGGGCATAGGCTTGACACAACGTCCTTGACTTGGGCGTATTCGGAGCCCAAATCTACCGATTCGGGTGTAGCGAGAGGAGCGTGACCCAGTGTCATTTTAGGACCGTGTTCATCTTTTTCACCTATCGTCATTCTAGCTATGGCGTCCGTCACGTTCGAGAAGTCCTTCAAGTTGATCTTCCCAGGTTGCTTCAGAGTCTGGCTGCTCCCTTTTGGCCGCGGTTTCGCTTGGGAAATGTGCCGTCTACCCGTAGTGAATGCTCTGTGAGAGTAACTGTTAGTCACTGCATCCTGATGCACAAACGTATCCTTCATCCAGCCTATCGCTGAAAGATGAAAAAACAAATCAAATCGCAAATAAGTGCCGAGACATTACCAACATTATCGACGCAAAACTAACCAGATAATTTGTTAGCGATATCCCCGGGTTTTAACAACTCTCTCTCCGGTTCTTCTCTGTAAAAATCTACTTGACTATAAATATCACTGTCGTCGCTAGGTGTGGCTCTATTGTCGGCAAATTGTTCGTTCAAACCTGTGTCTCCGAGATCGCCATCGGGAGTTAGCTGCTCGTACGATTCAGAGCCGCTTCTGAAAGTTACAGACATACTGCTTCACGTTAGACATTTTAATCGCATGGAGACTCGGACGTTACGAAGGCTACTAACAGATTACTTACCCGTCATCTGGCGTTTGAAGATGGTAACTTTCGTGTCGCGGTGGTGGCATAGGATGCAACGCAGAGTATTCCAAAGTCCCCTCGCCGCTATCATTTAAATTGCCCGGTTCCTCCATGTGGAACGCTTGCTCGATTTCGGGCTTCTTCTCCCAGACTTCCTTAAAAAACGGTGTGTAAAATGCCGCTGTAAAAACAAAAGAAAAAAACATTGTAATGTTGGCTATAATAAAGAGACTAGTTTTTATATGAGATTTAAACAAAGAATTATACTTTTTTGTTGACAACTGGATGCAGACGTCATAAAATGTGCTTGTAACCTATCTGCCGTTGCGTTCCCTTCCGTGATGAGTAAATGACTCAAATCGTTACTGAAGAATGCGGTAGCGCCTCCAGTATCAGTCACAGCCATTATTTGTATTGGTAAATTTGGTATATTCATGGAGAATGCACTGAAATCAAGTATTTTGTAAATAAAAGATTTTTCTACAAAATTCTGAATATAGTCGTGACTATAGTAGTGAATATAGACTGTGTTAGACGTACTTTAGAGTCGCGAGAGATGCTTTCCTCTTCGTCGAGTAGACCAATATAAAACCGTGCACCAATTCGTCTCTGAACGCATTTGCACCATGGAAACTTGAAATTATAACCTCGACCCTTTGCTTCGATTCCCCTAAAAATGTTTCCAAAACGATCGACCGATCACCGCTGAGAAAACAACACTGGTGATTGAGTAGTGGGCCAAGTACGTTTTCCACGGAATAGGGATCCCCGCAAAACATACACATTATTATTCTAAAAAAGTAAAAAGGATGTTAACGTCGCTTATTTTCATTTATTATACACTAGTTTCAAGACGTTTCACCTAATATCAGGTTCTAAACATTGAATGACACTTTGGTAAATATTCAGAAAACCGGCTCTGTGGTTTATGGATTGTATAAGTTGTTGCAGCGCATCTTTCACGAGCGGTGTAGGAAACCTTCTGTCTTGCTCCAAATCTTCTACGCAAACATCGATAAATGGGCATTGCAAACTGTTGTAAAAGAGATTATTATTAAATATTTCCTCCGGTGTGCGCGAAAAATGTTTGATCTGTAAATGGGTACCTTTCTGCGAGATTCTGGCCCTCTTCCCTAAGTCTTATTGCTTCCATTTTGTCAATGGTGGATTCCGGTACAAACATAATAACAATAGGCAATCCTTGAAATGGTAACCTGTCCTCTTGCTCCAGATTGGACAATAATGTCTTCTCCAAAGAGGAACGGATATATTCGAACGAAATCTCGTTTGAATAAATGCAAAACGATCCTATAAATTCGAGTAATAATCGATAGTAAAATAATCGATCGTAAAATAATCGATAGTAAAAAAAATCGAACGTAAAATAATCGATAGTAAAATAATCGATCGGAAGAAGCCTATTGCCACATACCGTGGGGCATAAAGTCGGAAGTAGTGAATGAATTATGCGGTAACCCAACATCCCCGTCGATAATTCGATATCCAAGCGTATACAATTGACAATCGATTTCGACTTCGTCATCCTCAGTCTGAGCTCTTATTTCACGAGCAAATTCCTCGCCGAGTCCGTTGCTTCCGAGTATGACTAAGTTTAATTGATTGTTATCGGATGTCAATTGCCACTGACTGCTGTGATTCCAAGAGGAAGGCCTGAACGATGATAATACGATTAAATTAAATAAACATTCTTTTTATTGCTTCGTGAACTCACCTGTGAGCTTTCGTTCCAAGTATCCGTTCGATAAGAGCGTCCATACAATTTGGATAAGCTGGACAGTGCTCCCTTATGGGACGATGTACAAAACCCAAATGTTGAAAAAGCATTAATTTTCTATCTTGATCCAACCTATCTAAAGCTTTATACCTGTACATTATAACGGATCGTTAAATATCTCTTAAAACGATAGAGAGAAAGCAAATTCAATAACGTACCTAAAATCATCCACTAACGCATCTGTTATTTCTTTGATGTCATCTTGCGTTATAGTTCCGGATGGAGCTATACTTTTGAAGTGATAAAATAAATCGGCATGTTCTAGTAATAGTTCCTAATGTAGAAAAATGAAATTGTTAAAAACAAAGCAAAAAGTGTTAAAGCATTGTTTCATTTATAGATGCATATTTTCTTACTTGGAAATTATGTTTCGCTTTCTCAATGATTTCTTTTTGGTGTTGATCATATATTTCTTGACAATCATGGTGAGAAAGAGCTTCGAAGCATTCCCTGCCCATGAAAAGTACTCTGACCTCGGTCAAGTGTTTTCCTGGCGTAACGTATCCAGTTTCCTCCAACAGTTGCTTAAACTGTTTTTTCCATCTAAAGAATGTGAATTATGTATAAATATTTATTGTTAAATACGTAAAATCTAAATTTCTATCTCGTTTTAAATGTTTGTAAAATAGAGAAACATGAACAAATGAGTGTCGAAAACAAAAAATACTGCAAAAATGTTAGTAAAGCTATTAATGTATTGTTTTAAAGAAAATATTTTCTAGAGTAAATTATGAAGCAGTAAAACGCACAATTTACCTTTTGGGAAGTCTGCACAAAGAAACGCCACCCAGAATAAAGCAAAGCATTAGTGTATTGCATGTAGGTATTTACAATTTAATGATTGAATATAATATGAATATGAATATGACGAAATTCTTTTGTGCCGGAACACTATGTTAGACCTAAACTACTTACCCGTAAGAAAAAAAAGAACTCATCGGGTTTACAAATGCACAAATTCATTGGGTGACTATTTTGTCTTTTCTAACCTTATACAGGGTGTTTGGTCCATTAAAATTTTTCCCAGGTTTGACCGAACACCCTGTATAAACATTTTACTTAACAAACTCTGATAAATTATAATACTTACTCTAATCGTCGTTGTTCCTGTTGCAATACACTTATATGTTTCTTAAACACATCCTCAGCTTTTGGTGTTTCCAAAACATCGTAAGGAATCTTTGTTCCGTTGTTTTCATCAAAATCACAATCGATCCATGGAATATCTTCGGGACATTCATAGAAATATTGGTGAAAATCGGGATGCTCTTTTATGTACTGCTGTATCGCTGACCATTCTCTATAAAAATTTAACATAACAGTTATGACATTGTATTGAAAAATAAATTTTCACTTAATCTGAAAACGTACTCGTTGATTAGGTTTGTCACGTCGGGACATATTTCGTGAAGAATGTCAGGCAACATATCCAAGTATCCCTGTATTTTCTTCGCCACTTGCTCGTCCTTTAATTTTATAATGTGTCTCCTGAACAATCTTTGGGTCGCATCGATACCGAATAACTCCACGAACGTTGTAAATTCTTTGTGCTGCGCCAGTTTTTTTGACGCTTGGGACCACAATGCACGATAATCAGTTATGTGTATTCGAATCAATCTTTGCAGAGATTCCGTAGACGCGTCGAGAAGTTCTTTCCTGGCCCTTGCCGCCTCCGCGAATGGTGTTACTTTACTACGTGTTTTGGTTTTATCAATTAATTGAGCCACAATTATAAACGCCAAATCGATATTGATGTTTTCGTGCGCGGACGTTTCAACTATTAGAATGGAACTTTTATACTCTTTACGTATTATCAGTTTCTCCGCTTCCTTCACATACTGTTCGTTTGCATCATCGTTCTTCGTTGTTACCAGAACTATAGGCTTCTTAGTTTTCATTAGATTGTTCAATATGTTCGCTACTATCTCAACCTGTTTCTCTACGGCTCTATTCGGCACAACGCTTACATCAAATACACACAAAAAACCATCGATATTTAATTTACCATCTTGCAGAACCTTCTGTTCGTACTCTTTCTCTATACCTAATTGATTTTTGCAAATATACATAAGCTTCTCAGCGCTGGTGATTTTAGTGGCTGCGCATCTCTTTGCGTAAGGTTCCATTTTACCACCCTTGAACGGCTGAAATGATGCATCGTCTATGAATTCAGTATGTTCTATCACTTGAAACTGATACTCTGTTCCGTCTTCTGCTGTTTTTATAACTTCGCCCCAATATAGGAAATGATCGTTATTTACCACCCGACCACTAAAATCCGACTGGAAAAAAATAATAATAACAATTAATAAACATACATTTATCCAATGTTATTATCAATTACCTGAGATAACACTGATATATGGTCCACATTATAATCGTCGTTTAAAGAACGCATAAAACGATTACACAAACATGATTTTCCAACCCCGACTTGCCCTTTATCTTTCTCGGTACCGGACAGCCCAACGACGGCAACATTGATAGTTTTCATATTATCACTTTTCCTTGCCATTTTTATAGCTTAGCTCGATTAAATCACTTACACGATTAATAAGTGCGAAAATAAAAATCTTTCTCTCTCGAAATTTTACTCAGGACATTTTCGAATACCGCTATCGATAATTTCACTTGTCCATCGGCCTTTGCGATCATTAAAAATTTGTATTTCTTCCTTTGGTCATTGCATCGAATCTAGAAATTTGTACAAATACCGACATCGTCCCCCTTCTGAACATTTTTAACAATGCTTTTATTCCGTCTTTTCTTTTCCTTCGCGGCGTTTCGATATCATGCTTCAAAATGTCAGCATATAAATTCGCATATAAATATTCGTAGGCAAATAACATTCGCCGAAAACTTTGCTTGAGCTTCGTTAATCTAGAGTTATTATCGTGGCGTTACGAACGACAAATTAATATCAATAGGTCTTAATAGCCCAGATTTTATTTTAGGATCTTTAACCTTTGTAATTTTTAGTAAGCATAGTATACATAGTTTAGCACAGCTGTGAGCAATGGTTCTTTGGAATGGCACTGCGTATCTGTAAAAATAATATCCGTAAATAAAGAACGAAACTATATTAACGAGAGTCAAATTTAAATTGAACCTTGATTACACTAGTCATTGGGTATAGCTTGCGTCGATAACATGTCTAAAACCATGTTCACGTATTTAATATACAAATTGCACACTGCATTAAACGTAGATAAGGCATCAAGCAAATAATTCGATAGGCAACGATGCTTATTGCTAAATTTATTTTACAGATTTACAGGTTATGAATTTAACATGCTAAAGGACATCAAGAATTCCTCGAAGCAAATTTTCTATTAACCCTCGCGTAACTACCGTGTTTCTTTTATAGCGATCGTAATAGCAACGTGAAAATAAGTTTGTAAGCTGTTGCAACGATATTCCTTCTTGCTGGATAAAAAAAATAATATATACGTATATATTTTCCAGAACTGCAAAGCATTTATTTCGCGACGCCGATAATTTCTACCATCGAACTCCTCCACGGTTTTATTCGTTACTGATATAACCGGCGTAATGTCATCGACAGAATCGTCGCGAGATTCACGAGACAGAAATTCGTATGACAGAAACACAAATTATTCGATATACAAATGACAGCTACGAGTAGATCAATATGCATTGTACACACAACCGCGGTCAATTTTGACATCGACGATAGTGTCCCAGTCCTCGATAGGAATGTTCAACAAGGCACCACGTATCGCACGAACGTGCACAGGGAACACGTACAATCGAATCGAGGAGAATCACGAAACTGATCACAAAATGTCCAGCCGACAGTATCGAAAGGCTATGCTACCTGTTCGGATTTTTGTTCGACGAGCGAACTTAGTACACCAACCGGCCGTCCCGTGAAATTTTTTCCTTCGGGAACTCGATCGATCTTTCGTCGCTGCACAACCGCGCGTTATTTCTCGATTATTATTATTTTCACGCACACGACGCGCCAAAAGAATGCCCGAAACTCGCCCCGGCGAACGTTTAACTCCAGATGTGTGTAAATAACTTCACGTGAAACATCGAGTATTGCCCCATAAAGGAGCCATCTTGGTGGGTGGGCACAAGGCGATTAATGTTTTCGGTATAGATAGTACGCGTCGAACAAGAACAAGGCCGTACCAAGCATGCTCTTACTATTTATTCATACAGAGTGTTCCGAAAATATTCGACGAAATTTTGCCGGTCTATCGACGAGAAAATGTATTAAATGATTCTTTGCAAACTATGGATGCAAACATTTTGTATACGAGCTATCGATATCGAAACATTCGTGGCACTCTAATGATCCCGACAATTAAGTTAATTTAAGATTATTCTATATGTGATAGTACAAATAACTATTAGAACTGAATGCTTAATAGCGATGAAAAGACGATTCCTGCCCCCCCTTTCCTCGAGAGGACCAAAGAGAATCTATGATACTTTTTATCGATGTCATTGATATTTATTACTGCCAATTAATTATTTATGAACAGTATCGACGAAAAAGCAACCGACTACGTGCACCAACGTTACGCTCCTGCGAGTGCATAAAAACACCACCTGTGCCAAAATGAGCTAACTATTCCAACTTGGAATTGCTTGGAATCAAAAATGGCTGACAGCGGGGATGCCGTCAACAGTACATCGTCAGGAAAAGCGGCCAGAAATACTGTCATCGATGGACCTGTCACCGATCCAGCATCGAATACCAAGGTAAACCGAAGAACACTGCTATTTAACATTTTAGCAGTTAGATCTTCCTCAACTTGGATCGTCTGCGCGCGAGATCTTGACAGTCTAGTGACACGGCTATCATACTCGTAGCTGTGTTCGTTTTTTTTTGTTTTTTTTTCTCGGGCTAATCTCGGTCACTTCCAAACACAATAAAATTCTTTTTCGATTCGTACCTTCGGCTCGTTCGAGGGTGAACACTCGGGACAAAAAGTTAAGTTCCTATAGTTCTTTTTTTTTATTTCTCGTTTTTTTTATTTCACCATCTTTTATTTTCGTTTATCTATCTTCCTTTTTGTACCTGTGTTTCATTTTTTAATTGCGTTTCAGCCCAGCCCGTTCGGATCTTGTGACCACGTATTTCTGTTACATAACACTGCACATGGTATTAATTAATGTATGCTCCCGCATACACCTGTTTATTACCAAAACATGATACTTCCTGCTCTCGTTGCTGCTGATTAAAAATTATGAATGGAAATTTATAAATATATCGCGTTTAAAGACGAAATTCCCCCGTTTGTAAGATGTAGCAATTATTTGTATAATAATGCGTACAATTGAAAATTTTTAATTTAAATATGAGGGCTTGTAAACAAGAAAATCATTTACGAACATTGAATACGATGGTCTGTTGGAAATACACATTTGTTAGTAAAATCTATTGTGATTAGCAATTTGCCAGAATTATGCAATATGGAAGTAATGTATGATAATTGGCTTGAAACTGAGAGACAATTCATACTTGTATGAAGAATGTCTTTTGTCACTGTGTTTTAAAAATACTTTGGCCTACATATTCCCAGTTGTTTCTTAGAATTTTGATGATCGATTAAACGTTAAAATTGAGCATGAAAATGTTCCACGGAATCAACAATTTTATACCACTGCCTATATATATATTAAATAATAATCCTTTGTTGTTTAAATTAAGTTAAACTTAAGCTAAAGTAATTTGATTTATATAATTTTGTTGTTGCAATACTTCTACCTCTTTAATTTATATTTCCTATGTACTATAATAAGTTTATCTAGCACATCATTTATATAATCCTTTGAATATTCTATAACGTATTAGCTATACGCAACATACTATACGACTCTAATAATAAAAAAGTTTAAAAGGTGATCTGCATGCTGTTACACACATTGCCTGCTGTCGAGGCGCTTATATTATTTTACATATAGAGCATTATTCTCACAGTAGTCCGTAGGTTCGGTACCAATCACTCATACATCGCTCATTACAAGCCTAAATACACAATATAGGCGTGGCATGATTAGCACTACTGAACCAATGTTTTGAGCGTCATAAACGTAAATGAGGAGTAATTACAAAAAAAATAAAAAGGAGTATACTTTCGCATACATAAAACTTGTATTGAATGTATTTCGAGTTTTATGTACAAGTACTACCTTTGGGAGCTTTGTACCAAACTACGGACTGTATTATAGAAATCTGATGCAATTTGAATTATGAAATGGTGGTTATTGTGATTTCAGAGCCTAGAGGCATCAAATAATGCCTTTCACGGCGCGAGAACAAAATTAGTAAGTAAGAATATATGTGTACAAAACACAAAGTTAAATTTTGTACTCCTTTCCATAGAGTGATCCTTGCAATTCCCTCAGGGCTGCTTTAATTCCCATGACTACGTAAATGTGGTATGTGCCAATGAGTTTATCATCCTTGACTTCCTATCAAGTAACACAGAATAATAACAAGACATGGATCCACTTATCTTACGCCTAACTGTGATATCATGTTGAAGTTATTTGACGCATGATATGGAGCAAAAAATAGAAAATTTATCATTGTCTGTATTAATCTGTGTTCATTCGATCAAATAAAGTAGTTTCATTCACACTCTTCTGTTTGTAGTAAATTTCAATTCATTGCAGCCCTTCTGAAGACGAAGGATATAAATGATACGACAATTAATCTAACGTTTTAAATGTTTAGGATTCCAAGTCTGGCGCTTTGAAGAAGTCCAGCCGCTATCGTAGCCGATCATTGTCAGCCAGCAGTACAGACAGTTACAGTTCTGGTACAAAGTTCATTTTATCATTTTCTAATTAACAATGGTGTTCGTTGGGACTACCTGCACACCCCTCCTAATTGATTGTTGTATTCGTATCCCTACTTAACAAATATTAATACTATTGATAGTTTCAGTTACGACTAAATGTTCAGCATGCACTCGTTAATCACGATTTACTTTCGCCAAACGTATTCGTAAGCTTCTTGCACGTGCACATTGTTGTGGTACTAATCCTATTCGTTTTCTGGCACTTTTGTACTTTAGCTTCTTATACAGGAAGCTCATCGGACGAGGACGATGTCTCGCCGCGCGAGAAGATCCAGAAAACGGAGAAGGGATTCACCGATTTCTGCGTACGGAATATCAAGCAACACGCGTTCGGTCGAAGGGAAATAGAAATAGCAGAACAAGAAATGCCTGGTATAATGGCTCTCCGTAAACGCGCAGCCGACGACAAGGTATACATAGCTATCGATTCTGAGAATAAAAATAAATCTTCATCAACAATGTTAACGCGTACATTGCAAAGTATCGTTTTAAATAGCCGCTGAAAAATGCTAAAATTGTGGGGTGTACTCATATCAATGCTCAAACCGCTGTCCTGATCGAAACACTGGTACATTTGGGCGCACAAGTAAGATGGGCGGCATGTAACATATATTCTACGCAAAACGAAGTGGCCGCTGCCCTTGCTCATGCTAGTTACCCGATATTTGCCTGGCGCGGCGAAACCGAGGAAGACTTTTGGTGGTGTATCGACAAATGTGTCGCGGCTGAGAATTGGCAGCCCAATATGATATTGGACGACGGCGGAGACGCGACACATTTAATGCTCAAAAAATATAACGCCATGTTTAAGATGATTCAGGGTTCGTTGAAGACGTTAACGATGACGTTAATGATATTAATGATAACTATTAATAATAGTTCACTTTTAGGAATAGTTGAGGAGAGTGTAACGGGCGTACATAGATTATACCAATTATCGAAAGCGGGCAAATTATCGGTCCCTGCTATGAATGTGAATGACAGTGTAACGAAGACCAAGTTTGACAATCTTTATAGCTGCCGCGAAAGTATTATCGATAGGTAAATCAAGTCTAAATTGATGGTGGTCGGCCATCGCTGGGAAAAATTGTAATGGGGGATTCTAGAGACCAAAATAAGACGAAAATCAAGAATACTAATTTGTCGATAGAGGCTTCGTTAAAAAGTTATTAACGTTTAAAGCTCCGTGTACGCAGCGCGCGCGGTTCCAGTTTCACGGGCGTAACTTTAAACGTTAATAACTTTTTAACGAAGCCTCGATCTAGAAATTGGTATTCTTGATTTTCGTCTTATTTTGGGCTCTAGAATCCCATACTAAAGTTTTAATTTATTTATCTTTTTACAGTTTAAAAAGATCCACGGATATCATGTTTGGTGGAAAGCAAGTAGTAATCTGTGGCTATGGCGAAGTTGGCAAAGGCTGTTGCCAAGCTCTTAAAGGTCTGGGATGTATTGTTTATATAACAGAGATTGATCCAATTTGTGCTTTGCAAGCCAGGTGAGTAATCCTTGAGAGAATATGTATCGTAATGTTTTGAGTTGTTCGCTAATGCTTTTTTTACAGTATGGATGGCTTTAGAGTAATGAAGCTAAATGAAGTGATCAGAAACGTTGACATTGTTATTACAGCGACCGGCAATAAGAACGTTGTTACACGCGAGCATATGGATAAGATGAAGAACGGGTGCGTGGTGTGCAATATGGGACACAGCAATACGGAGATAGACATTGTACGTTTCAGTTCTGTCCATAGAAAGTTAAATTTTCCTCTAAAATTCGTTTAGCAACCTTCGATCGGACCTTTTAGGGAGAAAAAACTCGTGTTTCTTATATTTCAGAACAAAAAAATAAAAAAAAAAAAAAAAAAAAATGTATTGGTAAGACAATTAAGACTCGTTTAATATGTGCTTAACAGAACAGTTTACGCACGCCCGATTTAACTTGGGAAAAAGTCAGGTCACAAGTGGATCATGTTATCTGGCCAGACGGAAAGCGCATCGTGTTATTAGCGGAAGGTCGTTTAGTCAACTTGTCTTGTTCCAGCATTCCCTCATTTGTTGTATCAATTACAGCCGCTACCCAAGCGTTAGCACTTATTGAACTTTTTAATGCGCCCCCCGGGACGCTACAAAAGCGACGTTTATCTCCTACCGAAAAAGATGGGTAAGTGATACACGATCACTTGTTTTATATTCATTGCTTATCACGTAATATAATCTATAAAATAACTATAGATGAGTACGTTGCATCGTTACATTTGCCAACATTCGATGCACACTTGACGGAATTGACGGACGAGCAAGCAAAATACATGGGACTTAATAAGGCTGGACCTTTTAAGCCTAACTATTACCGGTGTGTATAAAATTTTGTAAATATTTATAATTTAAAATTACTATTTATTATTTCTACGGATTTCTTTTAGCTATTAAAAATGTGGACGGTGTCGCATGGCGAATTATATGGCGATATTGGAAACTTTTACGTTCACGAGTATTAAGGAAGCTGCATCATATCAATAAATTTTTTTCTGTTGATTTCGGTTATCCAGATCAATGGAAACGTTTGATAAAGTTTCCTGTTAACTTTAAACGCAATTCTAAACTATTTTATTGCCATAGACAAGTATTTTCCGTGTGTTCCAACAGAAATGTCGCCTCAGCACTGGTTGCAATAATCAATACTAGGAAGTTATATAAGCGAAACATGTGTATTGGATTAAGTTCCGCGCGTATATAACGGATTAATTTATAATTTGTGCAAGCATAGAATCAGACGTGCAGTTGAGTCCATCAAAACGGAGATGAAGTTTGCCAAATGTCAATTTTTTATGGCGAAAAAGAAAAAGAATGTGGTAACGATAAACACGCGTAAAACATTTTTAATGCCATAGACTATACGCGGTTAGAAATTGTAATTGAGATTATCGCGATCTGTTAGATACTATTTTCAGTAAAATATTAGCTACGAAGAACACCAATTTTTCTGGTACCACTAAAAAAATTTGTACGTGTATATAGAAAATTGAACTTTGCTAAACACTGATCGTACGATCGACCCGAAAGGCATAACATGCATCTCCCGATGAGTTAATGTCTACAACAATTACATCCAAATCGTTGTCCCTCGATTTGTTAATTGAAATGACACTCGTTTAACACCTGTACTTTAGTGTTTCAGTTTCTAAAAGAGTGACAATGTAAACGCCAATTCCACTATGTACATAATTATTTAAAACAGTACAAGAGAACGATTAGTACGGGTAAATATCTTGTCAAATTAATTCTTTTGTAATTGGTCGTACCTCTGTCTCGATAAGAACTATCGATAACATAGGAAACAAATAAACATCTATGATGCCTTGAACACGACTTTGCATTATTAATTTACACTATACCCTCCTATCGTATCACATAATTTATAATAATGATAATTGACAACTGTTAAAGAATTCTACGTTCACGCAATAAAAAAGTATTATAATTGCTATAAAAAAAAAAGCTATCTTGTTTCAATATTATTTCAAAGTATGACGTAAATAATAAAAATAGAAATACGTGAACGTTGAACATTACACTTTTGAGTACAATGGAGATTAATAAAATTTAATGATACAAGAACAATGGAGGAATCCGTCATAGAATGAAAAGGTAATCCATCACGTCGATATAAATGTTATATATTTCAGCATAATCGTTATAAAGTAAATAGCTGTTAAAGCGCTTATCAACAGCATTGATTGAAGATAAGTTTTACAAAATCCTTTTTTTTTTTTTTGTATCTACGATCCGTGTATGAGTATTGAAAACAAAACAACTTTGGGATTGTAAAATAAATCTTCGTTGAATGGCAAGCCTAAACGGCATGGCATATGTAATGGCATAAGAACAGCGGTCGTACAAATACAAACTTGCGCGCAATTTCCGTGTATATAAGAAATAAATAATAAAACCAAAAAAAATGTAGTAAAAATATATTTTACAATACTCTGTACAAGATCTCATTAAGAATTAGTATGGAGTTAGTTTGACGCAACTGTGTTATCGATTTATCGATCCTGGAATACTGTTATCAAATTTTATAAAATCGATTGTTTCTATTTAGCACAGTGACATACTCTCGAGTATTAATTTGCTTAATTTTATAACTTTAACCAGCGAAAAAAAATATTTGCAGTTACACAGTATCCCATGATTGATCTTAACGCAGTGTCTTCTGTATATTTCTGCAAAAAAAAATAACTTCATTTTCGAAAATGTCCAATGTCGGTCAAATTTAAATAAAATTTTCTCTACTCGCGAATATCATTAAACGTTTACCGTGAATAACGAAGCTTTCTGCGAACGATCGAGCCTCCAAATAAATCCACAAAATAAACAGTCACGTAAAATACGTAAGAGTATAATTTTCGAACACTTTTTTTCCCCCCACTACGTCAACAACAAATATTGTAATCAAAAATCTGGTAATCTGTATCAACAATTCACTGCACTCTGAATATATATAAAAAAAAATCTACAACCAGGGGAGCTCAGCGAATGAACATGATTCAACGCCATTATATTACACGTAAAAAGAGAGAAAAATTAAATGGTTAATATTTACATATAATCGATTATTCGCAAGTCATTGCACAATTGCATTTACTACATAAAAGTAATTCTAATATACAGGGTGTTCGATCAATCCTGGAAAAAATTTTAATGGGGGATTCTAGAGGCCAAAATAAGACAAAAATGAAGAATACTAATTTGTCGATTAAGGCTTCGTTAAAAAGTTATTAACGTTTAAAGCTCCGCGCACGCAGCGCGCGCGGTTCCCGTTTCACAAGCGTAACTTTAAACGTTAATAACTTTTTAACGAAACCCCAATTGAGAAATTGCTATTCTTGATTTTCGTCTTATTTTGGCCCCCAGAATCCCCCAATAAAATTTTTCCCAAGGTTAATCGAACACCCTGTATAGAACTGCCTCGACTTTATACACGATTTTGTCAATATTAATTCATCATTGATAAACACCGAGCTCCCACAGTATCAATGAAGATTGTAACATAAACATTATAAACATCCCTAACGAACTATTAATTATTCAACTAAATTATACAAGAATTATTCGATTACATTAAAAAAAAAAAAAAAGAAATCATGAATATACGCGTTCTATATATGCTCGATCACTGCAAGGCAAATTAATCGATAAAGATAATGTAATGATAGAAATGTCTTATATGTGTCACGTATTCATAAGTCATTGATACATCTTCTATACATGTAAATCACTTAAGACCATAATTGCATCGTTTAAAACCTTTTAGCCTGGGCTAAATATATATACACATACATACATACACATACGTATAGACACATCCGCGCGCACATACTCGGTGTGCAATAAAGTAGTTCTTTTCTCATTTATAAATATGTAACAAAAATAGATAATAATAGATATATATTGTATGTACAATGTAGACATGTAAAACCTAACAAAGTAGTAGCGCTGGATTATTTCCTCTAAATCAATCTAATAAGCCTTTACCGTGAAAAATACTTAATTACCTCAACATGAGCATATTCAAAACCTTTTAGTGCATTCGTGCATTTTTTGCTCCCCCCCGCTCTCTTCCTATAAGACAATTATACAATTAATTAATATATCCTTTCTCTTATCATTCGATTTAAAATTTTCCTGCTCCGTGATGCCACTTTCGAACACTCTCTGTGCACACGTGTTGCTACGTAACAATTATAATGGATATACTCCCTTGATCCAATGCTTTCGCAATACACCAAAGACGTTCATCGATTGTATTTTCCTCCCCTCTATTTAATATCGTTACAAACTAAGTAGCATTTACATATTACACGCGATTCATTAAATATTAGCGATTCCTCTCTTAGTAACAACAATAACATACGAGTATACGTAAGCTCGCTCCAGAGACAGTTCCATGGACCACCAAAATTACTCCATGAAACTTGTTACACATCATTTCACAAGTACAAGCAATATAAGTTCGTTAATTCTTTTTTCGTTTGTTCGCAAATACTTTCAACAAGATCGTCGATAGAAAATTGTTTGAACTTGTAAAACAACTCGGCTATAAATCCTCTCAGGCCTTTTTTTTGTACTGGTATATTTATTAATAATTAAGTTATTAAATTTTTTTTCAATACGAGGTAAAATACAGATTGATACACACAATCGTGGAATTGTTCATGATGATGCGAAAAAAAATTATACTTCTCTCTCGATTCCCGATCCTTTCCTAATGACCTTCAGCTTATATAATATTCTCGTTGCAAATAGATTAATGCAGACGTTGATTAATATACTGATTAAGAGTTGTATATCGATTTAATGTAATATAATGCTTTAAGATTAAATGATATGCCCTGGTCGCCAACAAAGTGGTAATATTACCATAGATTAAAGCTTCTAAAAAATTGATGATATAAAGTAGAAATAATAAGAGTTAAAAAAGGCCTGTAAAAACTCATGTACCCCGTCAATGACTAGCTTAAGGTATTATGCATATATATATATATTTATATATATATACACACAGGGTGCAGTCGAATAACATGCACATGTGAATGGTGATTTCTTATGTAAAGAATAAAAAAAAAATATATATTCTTCCTATTCTTTTATAAGGAATCACATCCCATAAGCTTCTACATGTTATTCGACAGCGTCCTGCATATATTCTTGTTATAACATAAATGTTTCAATGGCATTGCATAGTTCCTTAAAATTTCTGCGAAGTAGACTGCTCGACTGTTGCACCAGCGCTCCCACAACATTCTAATATTTCCTAATTCGTTCAAAACTCCGGCTGACCGTAGAAATAATCTATTTAAAGTTTGCGAATGATTTTCTATCTTTAAAATGACATTTATATTGAGAAAATGTAACAACGTTTAAAATAATTTGTTTGTTTGCTGGATGTTGATTTAAAATTGATGTATCAAACTGTTTGTTCCGTTTAAAAATTATTGAAACTACTAAAAATGCCCAATCGACATTTAAAATGGAAACAATATAGAACGTTGTTCTCTGGTGTTTAAGTTTTTTTTAACAGATAATGAAATATGTAAGAAACATGCAAAAATCTAACTGGTCTCGCAATCAGAACTGCACTTTGATTAATCTTTCCTTATCTTATTATCCTTGACCCTGTACTTGTTATCATAGTTTCCTTTTTACTGCATATTTTCTGTCAATCATTACTAGCGATAGTAAAATACTACAGGAACGATTTGTAACTTATATGTACAAGATAAACAAATTGCGCGTTCGGATGCGGTTCAGCGAAGATCGTTGTAACTCTGTGGATTCTAGTAGCAGAAATTTCTATTTTTGTCGCGGTGATCGCAAAAAAATATAGAAATTCAAAATTGCAAGCGATTCCTTCGGTTGATCATGAATATTTGCTTTGCTCCAAAGAACCATAAGTTTCTCGAATAAAACAAATATACAAAGTTTCTATTGACTTGTCGTTTGAAAAATTTCATTGTGGACTTTAAAAAATATATACATCGCTATGAACGTTATTATCATGCATGTGATTCATTCTTGACACGACACTCGAACCAAATCAGTTTAAAAAAAATTTCTTATCTCGCACCGTACATCTAAACGTTAACATTCTTAGAAAGAGTTTGCTTAAAAGCTTCACGATTATTAAATAACGATTCCCCTACAATGAGAATTATTATACTGCCATAGATAGTCAGCGAAGAAATTTGATTTTCCCGACACAAGTTGTCTCTCGATGGTCGTATGCCACATAATTTACTTAAACTACGGTATCCTTACGCTATGGCGTCGCCAGTGATCTCCAACATCACATTGCACGATATGCGATACAAAAAGTAATTCATTTTGTACATACTTTCACAAACGAGGTCATTACGGGCATGTCCTCGTACCGAATATATCGTGGTATATTCTTCGATCATGTTTTCAGTCGTAACGTGGCGTCTAGCCATTTTGTTTCCGGGCAGGATCCCGGAAAACACAATTACTCTCGTACACCTACCAGGACGCACCGGTTTCCTCCGTGTTTCAATTTAGTATTCATTGGATCTTCGTATCTAAATACTATTACACGCGAGAACAAATGCAGAGCTCGCCTACAAATGTGAAATCGTATTGCACCACTTTGATCCGCCAGGAAGAGATTCCCGCGTCGACGGAAACTCGTACGAAACACTTCCTCCGTTTCATTGAATAGTACTTGGCACAACAGTCACTTTGCTGTACTGTTCGTCCGACTGTCCAATGGCGTTCTGCGGCAACGGTTTCTCGAACCTCTCGTGCTGCACGTACGGCGACGACACCGTCGATGATCTGTGCTGATCTAACTTTGGATTCTCCGCAATGGTAACGTAACCAGCGCTCTGTTTGGTCGCGATGACAGGCTTCTCCGCGTCCAATTTCGAGCTTGGTTTTGTATCACCCGTCTGCCAACACAGAGGATACGCTGTCATGGCGTCCTCGTCGCTTCGATCCTCCATCGCCTCCGAAATGGACACTTCCGGTTTACCCATCTGCTGCTGTTGCAGCATCTGGAACACGGAGCTCGCCAGAACGTACGGCTTCGAACCGTCGACCGTGGAAGCTTGATGACCACCAGGCTTCTGGGCCTCCGAGACGGTCGGTTGGAAACTCGACTTTTTCGACACCTCGGGAATCGAGGACACGGAAACGTACGGTTTCGACGAGGAGTCCAACGTGGACGGCAGAGACGTCGGGTTCACGAAAGAGGAAACGAACGGTTTGTTGCACGAATCGGTCAAAGACGTCGACGTGAACGGCGTCGACATCGTCGCGCTTCTAGCACCGTCCATGCCACCTAATGCAAACGGTTTCTTCAACGAATCGATCAAACCCGTTTGCACGTACGGCTTGGAGGTTTTATCAGAGCCGGAGAACGGAATCAGAGACTCCAGTTTCGATTTGTTCGGCTCCGCGAACGTCAGATCGTCCAGATCGCGCAGGGCGTCGATCGTCTTCTTGTCCTTTTGTTTTTGTTCCAAAGAGGCTAAAGTTATGTACGGATTCGCTGGCTTGCTATCCGCTTTGATAGGTATCAGCGTGTCCGCGGTGGACTCCGTTAAATCACTGTCATCCTCCGACTTTGTTTTCACTGGCTTCGGTACCGATCCTATAACGCTGTAGCCACCAGCGGTTGAAGTTTCTTTAGGAACAGGACTCGGATTGCTCGACAGTTCCTCCGACGATGGCATACTGATGTAACCAGTCGAGGACCATGTATGTTGGGAAGTTGTATAGCCTGTGCTGTCGGTTAAATTTGGCGTGGATCGCGCCAGGGACAATGTGTCTCCGATGATGGGCTCCCCAGACTTTGCAACCTTCACGTACGGTTCCCACCGTGCTGTCTCCGTGGTAAACACTGGCCTGGTGATTCCAACATTCCTCTGACGCAAACTCGAGGACTCCCAAGCCGGCAGTGTCTCCAACAATTTATTGGGCGACACCGGCATCGGGTCAATTTCTGTACCGCTGTCGCTAGAAACCTGAGAATCCGACGTGAGGGACGAGGTAACGGATTCCTGACCGCTGGAACAACCGCTTGAATCGGCAGAAGACTGCCGTATGTGTTGCTCGCCAACTTTCTGAAGAAGTTTCTGCAACAAGAATGTGGCAAATTTGAATCTTCCATCAGCGATACGACACTCGTTCTCATAAAGAGTGCATATTACCATATTGGGCGCCAATCCTGGCGGCAATTTCACTTCAACGTCCTGCATCGCCTTGCACTTCAACCACATCCTACAAATAAAACCGGTCAGCACAGTTGCAAAACACTTTTAGCGAATGAGATCTACGTACCTCTTTGACAAGTGTCCAAGACAGAGAAGGATTGCGACAATACTGACGCCTCCTATTACCCATATTATAACCCACACACTAAACGATGGTCCTATTGTGTAATCAAATTGTGAAATAACAATTGTTAAAAAAAAAATAGATAAGAGAATCAAATGTGGACTTACCATCGCTGTAACAGTTTCCCTCGCCAGGTTCGGACCAAGGGCCCTTCAAATGTGTGTTGTCCGACGCAATGTTAATAGCTCTTACCCTAAATTGATACAGCCGTTCGCGCCCTACGGTCTTGCAGTCGGGAATAGGCAACTGAGCTTCTGCAATGTTCACAGAAATGAAACTAACTATAAGCTACGTTTCAAGTGATCTTTTTACGTTACCTGTCCTAGTGCTGTTTTGAACCTCGCCATCGTTGGAGCATATTTCGTAATAGTTCAAATGACCAGCTGAATATTGAGGCTTGTTCCAAATTACAACCACTTGGCTAGAGTTCATGAAGCGAACGTTGGGCACGTTTATTCTTCCCGGTACCCCGATCTTCGTGACTTTGTGGATCACGGGTGATCTTATGCTGCAAGACACGGTGCACGCTGCCACGCTGATGCTGTAATTCGTATGCGCTAGAAGATTCTTCAGCTCTATGTGATTTGCTTCTTCGACTTTTTGGGCCTCTTTGTTGTAATACACTTCGTAGTACCGTAGCACACCGTTCATGGCGTCTGGCGGTTTCCACGTGATGAACATCGTGGTGTTTGTCACGTTGATGATTTTCACATCCTGCGGAGGAGTCGTTGGAGCAGCCTCCAGCGTTGTGTTGTACAAAGGATCACTGTGCACACCTTCTCCGCTTTTAGTTAAAACAGCAACCACCAGCATGTACGTTGTGTATGGTTTTAAATTATTTACTATTCCATGTATGGTGTGGGGGTCTGCTCTTATCGTCGTGTTCAGTTTCGAACCCTTGCAGTTCAAATTGTACGGCGAGACAATAGGGCAGTAGTAAATATTGAACCCTTCCACGATTCCAATCCGATCGGAACACTCGAGTTTCCAGCCGACCTCGATGAAATCGGAGCCAATACGATTTATCCACACGGACTTCATTTTCCCGATAACTTTGTTGTAGATCACGGTGCACGACGCCCACACCATTCCGCTGCTACCTTTGTTCGTGTTCGTGGAGATCGCGAATTGATAGAATTTGTTGGGATCCGGGACGGTCATGTTGTAAATCGTTGTGTTTCTCGATACGTGCACCCAGTCCAGATAACCGGTGCACTGATAAGGACGGTCGCGCACGTTATCGCACCAAAAAATTGTGTAATTCGTGACTTCTGTGTTCATAATCGGTGGCTTCCAGGACAGCTCGTACAGGCCACCGTCGAACGCTATTTTAGTAAACGCTATGGGCTCGTGCGGTATCTCGTATTGACTAGGTACAAAAATCTTAGCCCGCTCCTTACTGGGCCCGACAATATTCGTTGTAACGATTTCGAATCTATAACTATTGAAACTAATCCCTTTGACCTTGACGTAAGTCGTTGTGGTCTCGTTAGGAACGAGCGACAATTTCCGCCCGTTCTCCTCCACATGATGGATCTCGTACTTGAAATTATCGCCATTTTCTAAATATTGCGGTATGGCTTGCCAATACAAATACACGTCCCTGTTAGCGCTATTTTCCGCTATTTCGAAGCTTCCAATATCGGTTTTTGGAGGACGGCCAGGTACTAAAATGTAAAATATATTGTAATATAATAAATAGCTTGGGAAACAGTTAATAATAAGACCAAAATTGATGTAACCGTGGCTTACATCTTGGCGGTGTTCTGAAAGTGACGTCGCTGAATTGACTCCATTTATCCTCCCCTGTCGCGACAGCACTTTTCATAAAAACTCGTACATCGTAGCCAGTGTTAGCGTACTCCAACCCGGTAAGATTATAGTACCTCTTATGCATGTGAATGTCATTTGTAATGTTGATCACCTAACAGAAATTTGTTATCAATGGTCGGTGTGCATTTTTTACAGTCATCGAAGCATAATGAAGTTTCTCTTTATCGTCACCTGCCAATTTTTCTGGTGATCCCATTGATTCTGGTACCTTATTCTGTGATGTAAACCAGGCGGAAAGGTCTGCATTGGAAAAGGTACACTCCAGTGTAACAATGCACTGTCTGATGTTTTGTTAATAACCGACAGATTAGCTGGTTTTGCAGGAATAACTGTAAACATTTATATTATTTTTGTCATTGAACTCTTCAACGCACCAAAGTTGAATGAGAAAATAATAGATAAGAACCGTGAGCAAAATGATGAAATTTATGTTGGAAACTGGCGTTCCCTAGCACATTTTCCACATTTAATATGAACGTGTAGTATTCGTATGGCTGTCGATAAATTGGATTCGTAGACGTATCCCACAAACATATATTTGGTTTCTGATTTTCTTTAGGGCACGGATACAACTTTCGTCCTCCGGCTCTTCCCGGCAATTTGAACACAAGCGTGAATCTCGTTGTAACGTAGTTTTGTACAGGATCCCACGAACAGGTCATGTTCTCCCAATTGTGAGACACACAAGTGAAATTTTCTGGCTCTTGAGGTTTGACTGTTGACAATTGATAAATATTTGGTAAATCGGTTTAACAATTTATAGAGAACAAGACTTCTTTCTCGAGGAAAGTCTTCAAAAAAATATATTACTAAGAATGCTTATAAATGACTCTCTTTGTACACCAAGTTCATTACATAAATGATCTTATCAGGGATGGTGGTCAAATATGAATTCCAAGATACAAAGCATATTAAATACTGTTCTTATAATTCTAATGAAAGCAGACTCTCAATGCTTGCTCTTGTTTTCATAAAATACCTTTTGACCTATCCTGATAAGCATATATGAATGACACTATTTATTAAGATCTTTATACTGCGCTTATCATTATACTTATATAAATTAGGTGCTTATACAGGGTGTCCAGCCGCCCTTGGGAAATATTTTAATGGGGGATTCTAGAGGCCAAAATAAGACGAAAATCAAGAATACTAATTTGTCGATGGAGGCTTCGTTAAAAAGTTATTAACGTTTAAAGTTCCGCTCGTAATGAATTTTTTTCTAGAAAGTGGGTAGGATTTTAGGGGTAGGCCTAATGACCAAAAATTATTGTAACTGACCCCCGCAACCGAAAATAATTTTTCCAGAACGATTTGAAATTTTTTTTTTTTTTTGCGAAAAATTTAGGGACTTCCCCCTGTCGATTTTTCTTGAAACTTTGTTTTTCATTTTTAATATATTTATTTGACGTTCTATAGAAAAGTTGTCTAATATTTTTTTGTAGGTACCCATAGGCTCTGCTTCAGAAAAAAATTTCAGTGATATACCTTTACTATAATAGGAGTTATGGCTGTTTGAAAATTGGGACCAGTTTTAGGGAGTTTTTCTCACTTTATGGTGTCAAGGAACAACTTTTTCAATATTGTTAGAATTTCTACATATTCTCCACTAAAATACGCGTTGTTTGCATTTTACATGAAATTTCAGGGAAGCATTTCTGGCCTCACATTAGATTTTTCGGTAAAGAATTTTTGTCTCGAAAGTGTGTAGGATTTCGGGGTATGTCTATTCACAAAAAATGCTTGTAATTGACCCCTGTAACTAAATATAATTTTTTTAATAAGATTTGAAATTTTATAATTTCGTCTAAAAAGTTCGGTACCTACTCGAATTTTTTTCTCGAAAGTGGGTAGGATTTTAGGGGTATGTCTATTCACCAAAAATGCTTGTAATTAACCCCCTTAGCTAAAAATAATTTTTTCAGAAAGATTTGAAATTTTTTAATAACTTTTTAATGAAGCCTCAGTCAAGATATTGATATTCTTGATTTTTGTCTTATTTTGGCCTTTAAAATTTTTCCCAGGGCTGACTGAACACCTTGTATACGATTTTAAGATTTAAAATTAATTAATGCAACATTATTTAAAAGAAAGTACTTACATCCAACTACAACTTTGTTCAAACAAACTGCTTCGTATTGTTTATTTTTATCATTGTGTACCCTTAATTTACAGTAATACATATCTTCTGCAGGTGGAGGTCTTTCCACGTCTAATGATATTGTGGTTTCATTAATAATTGTAATAAATTGCGGTTCCATCTCTTTTTTGTTACGAAAGAATACTAGATCCGAGGCATTTCCACCAGGAAATTCAGTATCCACAAACGTTTGATTTAATATACAAAGTATTCTCAAAGATTGACCGTGTTCAAGAACAATGTCACCTTGAGGCCAGGTTCCTTAAGAGCAAAATAATCATTTAAAAATAATTCTGAACGAATTAATTTATGATATTCATTTTGTGCGAAATACAACTCATTTAGTAAAGTGTAAGATGATTTTACTCTAAGATTTAGCTTAGACTGTACACCCGGTGCATTAAATATAGATATATGCATTTAGCACCAAGCTAGAATTCCAAAAGGAGTAAAAGATACATGTTTCATTTATAAACTCAGCTACATTAGAAATATGCAAGGAACAGGTAATTGACATTGTTATTAATTTTGTGCTTGAATAGTTAATTCGTTAAATTATTGTACAAACGTTAATCCTAATTGAATTGCTTGTTTAAATTTAAAAGTAGAGATATTATATTACACTTACTTCCAGGCGTTTTGAGACCGATTGCACACTGATTGGGATCTGCATTACACAATGTTGTACACAATAAAACAATAAAAGGGATTAAAAATGTTCTCCAAAAACAATTCCTCCACTGTGTACCAACTTTCTTTGTAATTGGTAATAGCAAATGCTCGTACACTCGAGCTTTCCATAAATTGCATGTATTAGAACATACATAACTATTTGAGATTTGTTTCTGTTTCTGACAATGCATTATATCACAATTACAAACACAACGATTAACATCTTCGCCATACACGCAACGATCGATCGAACATGCGCCAGGAGAATGTTTAATAATTGCTGAAATTTCAGCTACGTCGCACAATTTAATTTCTATCCTGTCGATAGTGCCTTTCTCCTGAGGGAGACAAACATTACTTTTTACATGATTACTTTTACTTTCGCATTTCTCTGAAACACGGTACAGAGATTCTGTCATCCTATGCGCATCCAAAGATTTAACGATATCATGTTTCAATGCACTTTTCGAATCTGATAATGTGGATTGAAACATTTCTTGCGGAAGTCTTATAAGACAAACTTTGGTCGAAGACATCTTGCGCTCCCATTACTAAAAAGAAACAAACTCTGTTACAAAATTACCTAAAATTATATACAGTTCGAGAACATATGCATATAGGATATATCGAAACAAGAAATATTCAGGTATACCATGCAACAGTATGACACCAAAGCCAAATGAAAACTGAATCTCCATGATTGCAGAAGATGAAGATAAGGGGAAATATCATTCTGATTGATAAATTCTAGGTCACAACATAAAGCTTCCTTATTTATGTTATAAAGTTACAATAGTGCGTTATGAAATTCGTTTCAATAATCTATTGAATATAAGCACAACATTTTATTTAATGAAATATTTATAAAAAAGTACACAAAATGAATAGATATATATTTATTAGAATTAGTATATTTTAAATGCTCTTTGCAAAACTGCATGTTGGACACTAAAATTATTACACAAAATTAATTTATTTGTGAACATAGTCATTGACACAAGATGATTCATTATGTACTTTAAAAAGCACTATACAATCCTAATTAATTAAAAACGAGGAAAACAAAAATTCTCGATACAGGTGGTACGTCGTTTCATTCTTCTATACTGTTAAGTTGGACAGTTTCATTGATCATAACTTGTTATTGCTGTTATTTACTAGAAAAGTATAATTATCGAAGTAATAGGAAAAGTTGATAACTCGAGAACGTAATCAGTTATCACGGTCATGGCGCAAACGAGATAAAAAGAGATAAAAAAAAGAAAAACTACACAACACACACACGGGCAAATGTGTACAAGCACGCGTATATGTGTGCACATATACAGAGTGTTCGGTCAACCCCTGGGAAAAATTCACACGAATGATTCTGGAGGGCAAAATAAGACGAAAATCAAGAACACCAATTTGTTGATGGGGGCTTCGTTAAAAAGTTATTAACAGTTGCGCCTGTGTATAGGCAACCTGCGTGCAACTGTTAATAACTTTTTAACGAAGCTTCGATCGACAAATTGGTGTTCTTGATTTTCGTCTTATTTTCGCCTCTGGAATCTGCCCCCGTTAAAATTTTTCCCAGGGGGTGGTCGAACACCCTGTATGTATGATATAGCGTGCATCATTCGCACACAATTAAATACAATGTGGACACACCGTTTCTGCCATGAAACTACGGAGCATTCTCGCAGATATTCGAGACGCGTATTGCATCAAAAACGTTACAATCGTTTATTTACGAGCATACGTTTCTATATCCACGACGTAACGTGTTCCGTGTAGATGCCCGTACCTCGTATTCCGCCTTGTCGCGCGTTATACATATATACATACAACATTATATATGTATATTATATATAACTATCTATCTATATATATATAAATACGTATATGTGTAGTTTCATGCACGATGGCGATCTCATGAATGCTGGCCTTACATATACAGCGCACGCGTGCACACATAGCGACACACATGAAACAATGCACGTAATCAGATTCATTTACGTATGCAAAACGTATGAAACGTTGCAGTCTTCCAGCGAATATGAAAAGGCACGCGATCGATTGCTCGGGGAAATCTGCTTGTCGAGCAGCACAGGTTTGGTTTCACAGAGAAACCCGATCGACACATATTTTCTAGGGTCTAAGATGGACTCGGTCTTTTCACGATTATCTGAAACATTTCTACGTACTCACCGTTAGTGAGTGATCAACGAGTTCACGCAGATATCTCATCGTGCCACCATGTATACTATATTCGTCTCCAGTCCACTTCACCAAACTTAACTACACTACGGGATGGTCGAACACGAACCTGTTCTACCCACTGAATATATCTTCTAGCCACCGTAAAGCGCTTTGAGTTCCAATACGCACGGACTTTTCGCGAGACACCACCGTAAACACGTAATCGCGTCACGGTATCACGAATCACAGCCGTAGAAATCGGTCGTGTCACTTCATATTTGTGGAAAAAATTCTGTTTACATTCGCCCGAAGAGACCCACGAATAAATATATACGATATACGTTCTGGGTAAAATACGTGCGATCAATCGACAGTGGTGCCAACATGTCCAGCGATCTCACGCGAGGAGTCAAGCGACAAAGCGAGAAACGATCGAATATGCTTGTTGCTTGATTCCTCGAAACGGAGGGATCTTGAGACGTTTCTGCGGAAAAGATACGATTGTTTTTGAAAGAACCTGAATGTAAAATGGATAGAACGAGCACATCTCGGGCATCGTAGCTTGACGACATCGACTGACGTCACGTCGAGACGTCAAGCGTCGCATTCTTGGAAATGTAGGCGCGCGCAGGTTTCACTGTGACCGCGATATCTTCCAATTGGCGCCACTTTCGAAAGCATTCTAGCATTTGATTCTAATTTTTCAATTTACTACTGATCTATGCATGAAATAAAAATTATTACATTCTATCTATTTAAAATCCTGATACGTTTTATGCATTACATGAATTCCAATTTCTTTCGTTACGAAACCGTATGCATTCCATGGGAAAAAGTAAATTTGTCTTAATCAGCTTCAATTAAAAGACAGATTTAGCATAATTAACTGCAGTTGTTTATTATTAATACATATATATCAACAGTGATATAATCTCGAGTAAAGTTTTCGTAACAATATCGATCTTTCGAATTTATTCCTATTATACTAAACACATTAGTAATAGGAGAAACTGATGTGTAACAGTATCGAATATTCTAACTAATAAAATTGTGAGGCAGTGATGAAATGCAGCAAAATGTTCGATAACAAAAATTACTCCAATTTGCAAGTTATGAAAGATATTGATTTTCCGTGAATGTATGTACATATGCATATAACATACCTTGGCAAGAAACAACATCGTAGTATGAATATAGAAGACATGGAGTTTTTTAATAATCAAATTACAAGAATCGTCAATACATTTCAATTGAAAAATTATTGCTTCCTTCACGAAGCTTATAATTATTAATAGTATCGTATAATTTTTAAAAATGTGTGTCGTGTGGGTGTATATATATATATATATATATGTGTATATATGTCCGCGCGCGCATGTACATATATATATACATAAATACATATGTATATATATATTTACAATTATTTTAAAATTGTTTACGATATCCTACAGAATATACAAATTGTGTATATGTATACATATATAATTATAAAAAATAAACACAATAGCTACAGTATAGGGTAAAAAGTATGATCCACTTTAAATGCAATTACTGTTGCTTACAGTAAAATTGCTCGTTCCAGCAAATAATGAACAATTACGATTGTTCCCGCCTGTTGTCAGGCATCATAACCGCTGGTCTTTGTTTCACATTAATTAGATTTAAAAATATAATCTAATTCATTCTTACTTATTTCGTTTACCAAACAACATCTTATTTTTTTTTCTCTCTAGTCGTTATGAACTTACTAGTAAAAAAATATATTTATTAGTTTTTAAATATTCAATGTATCTAAGTATCGCAAAAAGACAGGAAGAGGTTGTATTAACAATAAAAGTTTTTTCTTTTTTTTTTTTATGATCTTTGCTAATTCAAGATTTCTTCTCCGGTCATTATCCATTTATTACAAATGTCACTGAACAATCAGCAAGAGACAATGTTTCAAAAGAAAACTTTAAATAGTTAATGCAATTGCCTTTTACATTGTTCTTTCTGCATTGCACCCCAAGACAAAGTGATCGACAAGTGCATATGCTTCTTTGGTTGTAATCAGTACTTAATTTAATTATTGCTATACATACATATTTCATACAGTCATAATAAATACTTAAAACGAAAATAATATCGACAATACCTCTTTTTAAATGCTGCTAAAAATGTAAGACAATTGAATTACGCTGGAAAGTATTTAAATTCATGATCAAGGCCACAATAACGTCATAACATGAACATTTAAATATATAAAAATTTACGATGTAAAATGTAAAAAACACTAAACGTATTCAATATCTTTCCAGCTTACGATTTCTCTTATTCAGAATGTTATCAGTGCAAAATTGGTTTCCTATATAAATACTAAAATACCTGACTTCAATGCACTACGTGGGACGTATCGATGCTATTTGCCTCCAAATAGATCGTACTCCATCGACATATCATATACATCTTTACAGCCAGACAGTTTTACGCAATGAACTCTAATACAAATTCATCGTTTAAAAATCCAAGATCACCAGACTATGCATTAAACAATCTTAAGGAGATTCACTTCCCAAAAGTTAATATTTAACCACGTAAAATATCAACTTATCGAATCAATAACGTAGACACGACCAAAAATGTCCTTGTCGTTAATGCTAAATACGCTTATCATAAATATCTATTTTTGGATGAACAGCAGTTTAGTAAAATGAAAAATCGAACTTTCTGACGTTTTTTAGGGTGCACACCCATCTCGTGTAATTTCAATAAATGTCTGCGTGGGGTGCCCTCATCAACCGGTCGAATACTTATTTGGTCGATTGTGAGATTACTCTACAATGAAGTTCAATAAACATTTATAATTACTTCGAAAGCTTAAGCGTTTACTTAGTAATTTTTGTTATTAAATATGGAACACGCGCAAGGCACAATACTCTCAAGCTATCACACGTGTTAGGATGAATTAATAATTCGTCTCCTTTCAGTAATTAGATCATTTAAATACAGAGTTAGCACCAGTCCAATCTTGTTAGAGTGAGCAAGTATCGTCCCTATAAATTGGGCTTTTTTACATGTCACCATTTGTAGCTGTAAGAAAAGTCATTCACGAATTCCTTTCCACAACTGAAAGTTCATAAAGGTTTCTTATTTAAAATTAATATTAATACCATTATAAAGTATTTCATTGAGAATCAACAACCATGTCCTCGGTATTTCCATTAATGTTTAACTGTAATATGTCTAATTTGAAGCCCATGTAAATAATATTATTGAATATGAAAGCTGTGCGACATGTGAATGGTAACACTTGATTTCAACGTGTCGCGTATAAAAAAGTAGTTGTCTTACTACATACCTACATATATGTATAACCAACTCCATAAAATATACAATATAACACACTGTTTCCCTTTTGCACCAGATATTTCTGTGTCAAATGTCTTAGTACTGCAAAACAGTATTAATCTAACTCTCACTGCAATAAAACAATCTCTTGCAAATCATGTTTTCCTTTTCTCGTTTTGTTTGTTTGTTTTTCTTTACCTAATGTTAAACTTTGAAGCATTGTGTAAAATTATATAAAAAGTTACACAAAGGCGACGTTAGCATTAGTATCATCACTTGCAAAAGTAAATACCGTTAATTCTTTTGAGATTAATATGTTGTTACATAAAATGGTTAATTTCATATATTCATATCGTAGAGGTGTGGAGGAGCACCTACCACTGAAGGCATTTGACAACCACGCCGAACTAAAAGTCGGACGGATGGTCCACCGTTTCGTATAATTTCAATGGCCTCTGTGTGTGTCATGTTTTTAGTATTGATTCCATTTATCTCGATAATTTGATCCCCGACCTGAAGATTATTACCAATATATTAATCATAAGCTCGACAAACTTTTATAAGAAAACTTTACCAAGAAAATATTTACTCTCAATCGATTATCGATAGACGCAGGACCATTCTCTGCGATTTGCAAAACAAATAACGGCATATTTTGAAATTCACGACCGCCGCGAATACTAAAGCCAAATCCTCGAGTTCCACGAGTTAATTCAACAGCGTGGTATTGGCCTCCATCCCCGTCACACGTTGGTTCATCCTATAATAATTGACATTATATCGTTATAAAGGGTGTTCGGTCATTCTTGGGAAAAATTTTAATGGGGGGAGATTCTAGAGGCCAAAATAAGACGAAAATTAAGAATACTAATTTTTTGATTAAGGCTTTGTTAAAAAGTTATTAACGTTTAAAGTTACGCCTGTGAAACGGGAACCGCGCGCGCTGCGTGCGCGGAGCTTTAAACGTTAATAACTTTTTAACGAAGCCTCAATCAAAAAATTAGTATTCTTGATTTTCGTCTTATTTTGGTCCCTAGAATCCCCCATTAAAATTTTTCCCAAGAATGACCGAACACCCTGTATATTTACTTAAAGATTAGTACTAAAAATAAATACCTTTTGAGAAAGAGAGGTATTGCTGCAACAATCGTCAAGAGGATAACCGATCGTCAAAGTAACAGAATACCCGGAGTCTTTAATTAAATTCACGATATCCTTGTGACAGACATTTGTAATATCCACGTGATTAACGGCAAGAATATGATCTCCGACGTTTAATTGCCCGCATCTTTCCGCGGGCGAGCCTTCGATTATTCTGCCAATCGTCGAGCCCGCTTTGTTCACCGAGGAGATAATTACGAAGCCAAAACCTTCGTTCTCCATTCTAGTGACTGTCACGTCGTAAGGATATTGGAGATTCATTTGTCTACTATATGGAGCTTGGAGATTTTCTGGAAGATGTTCCTGAGTGTTAATTCTACGACGTATGCCTAAAGTGACCCTGCCGTTTTGAGCGGCGGCTATCATCAACTGAACAACATGGTGGTGGGACGAGTTCATAACACTTTCACCGTCAACGGACATGATTAGATCGCCTGTGTTCAATCTGTTATCTAAATCAGCTGCACCGCCAGGTACTATATGTCCAACCGAGACCTGCTGACAGTTACATTATCAATACCTTTGATTTCCCTCGATCAGAGATGTTAGCAATTATTCAACTCACTTGAGATCCCTCCTCCGTACCACCCACTATTCTAAATCCAAAACCTGTATCTTGCCTCACTAAAGTTACCAATGTCTCTATCCACTCTATATCAGGCACGATTGGACATACTAATTCGTTGGTGTATTGAGGATATCTAAAATTTATATATTCTATAATATATATAAATTTAATACAATTTATATATTTACCGCGGTATCGAACTGGAATGTGGTTGCTCATGCTCGAAACTTGTAGTCTCTTTTCGTTTGTCCCATATTTCACCGGTATCAACATTCTGCTCTTGACCGATGGAATATACATTATAATCTTGTTCGCTGTACTGGGAATGAGACTGCGACGTGTACAGTTCTTTATAATAATCTGAACGTAAACATCCGTTTTGTTTCAACATGTTATCGTGGTGAGGGATATCGATAGAATATACGTCATTGTTTATGTTTAATTTGTCGTTAGTAACCCAATCCCGTTTCGCGGTATTTCTCACAGAGTCATCATCTAAATTCGTCATCACGGCAAAATTATCGGATAAATTTGTAATGTTCGCTTTGTACGGATCGGTATAATAAATGCCATGACTATATTCCGCGTATTTGTATCGATTATCGAGCGGATTTAATTCATTTTCACTTTGCTCGTTCCAATTCGACCTGATTGCATTCGTTGGTGATTTTGGATGACTTCTGGTGTCTATGAGCGGTGTTTTTGGTCGGCTTGGTACAACAGCCTTTGTTTGAGTGCTGTAAATATCAGCAGTTGGCGTCTTACTCCTGAAGAAGTCTTGAGAATTCTTTTCCTTCTTTTCATTCGACTTCGATGTTGTTCTTTGCACATGTATCAATGCTTCTTCGTTGCGTGGACAATCTTTCAGCACTTGCACCACTTCCGAGTGACACATGTTTCTTACGTTAACATCATTTATGTTGACTAAAATGTCACCTTCCATCAAATTCTTACACCGCTGACGGTCCAAGATCTTTTTAACCTTTTGGCCATGAGCTGAATCTGCTATTGTGAACCCAAAGCCCATGGTTCCTTTCACTATAGCAATACTGAGAAACTCCGGTTTGGAAGACATTGGCGAATCCTTGCAATCGTTCAAGTCGCTGCTCTCCGACAAAAGAATATCTGTACTACTGGGCCTTTTAATTGTATTAATTTTGTCGGATATGCAGAGATCAGGCATCGAGTTTACCGAGGTCGTAGCAAGATTTTCACCGTTTTGAAGACTATGCACTGGCAAAAACGTAGAGTCCAGAAAATTGAAACGATCGTTGCTTTGCAAAGCTGGTTCCAGATCCATGTACATCCTGGGATCTTCTGTCAAAATGTCTGAGGAAATAGAATTTATTCTTCTACTAAAAACATACAATTACTTAACATGCTTTTTACCTGGTGCATTAACAGCGATAGTGGTAACAACTTCTGTATTTGGATCATTTGGATCAAATGGCAATGGATATCCCCGACATACCTCCAACGTAACCGTTTCGCCACTTCCAATTGATTTAAATACATTTACCATTTCATTGTGTGTGAAACCCAAGACACACGTATCGTTAACATATACTAAAACATCCCCTAAAATCGACAACATTTTATGCTTAAATAACCATTACTATCGATGATGCTTTAGAGGAATTTTATATATTACCAGTTTGTAATTTCCCATCTAACCACGCCGGACCGTTTGGAACAACACTTTTTATTTGTAAAAATTCCTCCACCGAATCATCCCCCCCGACAATAGTGAATCCTAGCCCCCTTGAACTTTTGATCAACGTTGTCCTTATTCTCTGACCTTTCAATTTGTCAGGATTTCTAGTAAAATTAGGACTCTTTCTCTCTCCTAAACTTTGCTGAGCGCGTTTCGCTTGCAACACTGGATTCTCATATTGCGTTCTACGATTTACATGGTCTATAAAATATGTACCGTAGAGCGTATCATCTATTTTCTCCCAACCGTAAGGCAGCTCGTCGTCCAAACACTCTTCGAGAGATCGTTTTTGAAATTTAGATAAACGTGGATCTAACCAGTGAGAGGTACCCGTGTTATGGCTGTAATATTATCATCGGCATATATAAATATTTTAATTGCGCAAAGGGAAGTTTGTTTTAAGGAGCCGATACGTTCTGTACATACTCTATAAAATAAACTTCCCCGGTTTCCGTGTAAGCCTTTTCCCAATTCGGTGGTAAAGGTCCCAATTGGTCATTGGTGGCTTGATTACGATTTCTATTACTTTGCTCTTGATTAGATAATCCGGTGTTCGATTCTGAACCTGTATTGTACAAATACGTGGGTGGTATACGATGACCGGTTTCATCATTCCCACTAATCGCTAATACCTCCTTGTCCATGCTTTCTCCTGAAATCGTATACATTGCAACAACACGTAACGGTATACAAAATATACTGTCACACAACTGTACATGCAGCGACGTTTAAACATAAGTATCTTTATACCATCGTTGGTATTATCAATAGACGTGGCATCCTCTGTTTTTGTAGCCATTTTACGATTCCTCGAGTCCCACCTTAAAACCCTAACGAATAACAGTAAAGTTACAAATGTAGATTTGATCGCTTCAAGTAAGATAGTCTTGCACAGAATGTTCTAACTGTTATTAGTTCTTGGAAATGCACAGATGCAGAAAATCAGTCATCGAGCAAATATGTACTAGTCTCCATGGCAGGGAATAGATACTGTAACTAACAATGTCATACCGTATCAGGATCACGGATTACGGATTACGTTTTACGTTTTACGCGTTGCAACAGCTTTTATGCAACATTTCCAAACGTTTGTCGCGTTGCACGGTTTCGAAAATACGTTTATCGAGGATTTCGAGTATCTGACAGATAAGAATAGAATGAAAATGTTGACAGTCAACGGAAACCTGGTTTCCTGACACCGGCGCACGGCCACCGATACACACGACACTCTGGACAACCCGACGGACAGGTGTCCGCGTTAAAATTACATAAAGTAGGAGAGGAACAACCGCACGGCGTACGTGAATGCATTCTTACGAATGCATTCACCCGAGAGAGTCTGTGCGTAGCCCACATATCGCGCATCATTGAATTGCGGCGACTTTCTATCTAGGAAAGTAACGTGCTCCCCCGTGAATCCCCTCGTAACGTAAATAAGTTCTCGCCGAGGGACGCGGATCGACGAGCCTAACGTTATTTTCACGCGGCGCCTCGTAAGAAAAACGTTACCTCTTGGCCTCCCCCTTTCCCACGTACGTTCGTGGAACGAGACCGAGATTGGCATGAAAATTGTCCGAAGTGGGAAATAATGATACAGTACGGGCTAGGAAAACGTAGGTATATTCGGTTAGGTAGCTTTTCTCCGAGGAGAATTTACTTACACTGATTCTCAGTGACGTGGTTCCCTATTGATTCAACCATCGTGGCTCAGCCGTGAAAACGGACTGAAATACTTCGACACTGAATCACTTCGGGACCGCGGGAATGCTCATCATTTTCGAAATAATAATGGAGTGAAACGAACTCGCAGCCTCACACTCGTCGTACAGATGCATGTACACCATACACGCACCACGCCACCATGCAACTGAGGCATTTAACCGACAACCGTCCCTCAGCGTCGCCTAGCGGTCGGAACGTGCACTGCTCTTCTGGCGCCATGTTTAATTTAATTTTAAAAGTACATACATTCAAGTTCCACATTATTCTGTACAATTATACAATTTATAGCTAATGAGTGGCTCGATATAAAACAATTACATCCGAGGGAGTATTAAAAATTAGTTTACAGGCGAGACATCTTTTAAAGTTGAATGAAATTGTAATCGTCGATGATCTTGTATCTGCTCTCTCTGTAATGCACCAAATCGTCCAAAAAGCGCATGCTGCTCTCATCGTGTAGCTTGGAGATCACTGGAGGAAGACGAGTTATTCCTGCAATATTTGCAATATCGTCGAAATAGACGCCCTGTTTGTGACCCATCTCGTGGAAGTGCCTTTTTCGAAGACCCTTTGCCAGGAGCTTTTCTAATTCTTCTTTCTCTTCTTTCAGCATGTCCTCCTTGGATGGAAAGTCTTTCTTACCGGACCAGAATCTCAGGACAAACCGGACCTGTTTCCATGGAACAGTTGCATTATAAATTTCTTTATAAATAAATAATAATCGTCTATTATAATCGTACCTGCAAATCGAACATATTGAAAGCACAAACGTAATATGGGATACCGACTACAGCGAGGGTGGGATTCTCGATCGATATGAGGTGCTTCCATAACGGTGTCACCATGTTCGAATCGACTCGTACTCCACACTTAGGGTCCAAGAAAGGAAAACTATACTCGTATCCTACAATAAAATGATTAATTTGAATATAGTTTATTGTATAGAATTAATTGCAACTTGCCTGTGCAATAAAAGACTGCGTCTATGGATTCACTGGATCCGTCAGTGAAGAGGGCGCCACTTTGAGTCAACTCTTTTATATCCGGTTTCTGAAAAATTTGAATATTGCAGACTCAAAAAAATCTCTTTTCTCAGGTGCAGTTACCTGGACGACGTTTTCAGGGAAAATGGTGCCTATGGACTCCCTCGTATGGTGACTCAAAATTACACGTGTTGCTTTCTTGGATATGTCCAGTGCCAAGTCCATACCTGTTTTGAACAAAAAGAATTGTGACATATTAGTATACAGAGCAATGTCTTTGATGATGTCACTTGAAAATCTTTTTTTGTGACAATTTGAAAGGTATCCAAAAAAAAGAGATTTGGGTGTTATTAACGGGTGTTTTTTTAGGAACAATGCAAATTTCAGTACCGGAAGGACCAGCACCGACGACCACAACGGTTTTATTGGTGAATATATCGGGTGTCCTGTAATCGTGGCTGTGCAACTGTCGACCTTGGAACGTCTCGTGGCCTTTCAGGTTTGGAACATTGGGCTTGAAGTAATGACCATTGCACACCATAACTGCATCGAACGAATCACTCGTAACAGTGTTTTTCTGCAGATCTTTCACCTTGATCGTCCACTTCCGGTCCCCTCCACTGGTAGGCGTCACCAATTCGACATTATGAAGGAACTGCAAGATAAACTCTTAAACAGGTCTCATCCAGGAGTGATCATTTCTATGATTTGATTAAAAAAAATTACAAAATACCCGAATATGCTGTCGAAGTTTAAAATGGTCGCAATACGAGTTGAGAAACTCGAGTATTTGCGTGCGTGTCAAGTAACTTTCGGGGGTGTCAGGAATTGGATAATCGGGATATCCCATTACTTCTTTTGGTAAATTGGTTCTGCAAAATAGAAATAATTTATCAGTTATGAGAGATTATTGTTAAACGTTCGTTCACAGATGACTGTACCTCAAATTCTTGTACATGCTGGTGTGTATTGGTAAACCGTATCGGTCCAAACCAGTTTCCTCCGTGTAGACCCATGTGCCTCCTACCTGGTCCGTTTTCTCGTAACAAACCACTTCACAATCGTACGTACCGGAAGTGCAGTGTCGCAGGGCGGCGAGGCCGCAGGATCCAGCACCGATCACAGCGATTTTCATGTTCTGGATGGACTTAATAACTCGGTTGGAGCGATAATTTAATCGGTCGTTCGCCTTTCAAATTTTTCAGCCTGATTCCTGATTCCAGAAACGACAACTTGAGGGACACTTGCTATTATCTGGAGTGCATGTATCACTTGTTATTGAAAACTGAAGTGTGTTTAATTAAAAATAAGCCAATAGTTCACTTAATTGTGATTGATAAAATAGAGCAGTTTGGATCGTTTAATGCAAACACACGGTCGAGTTGCAAATGAGAAAGGCGCAATGACTCGAGAGCCGAGCGTGCACGTTGGTTACTATTGCTTAACTATCTCACGAATACCCAACACGTACGGTTTTATTGATAGATTATCTCGTCAGAAAATAGTAAAACGCGTTGTCATTGATAAATATGCTCGTCAAGAGATAAATATGCTCGTTTTAGAGAGACTTGAACTTGAAAATTTTTTGGGCAAAATTCAAATTGCATTACTCACGAACTGGAAAGGCGGGAGAGAGAAAGTGAAATCGCCGGCGAAGTCGGTGTATTGCAGTCGGAGACGAAATACAAACTGATCTGCGGTAAAATAATCAGCTCGTGGAAAGTCCGAGTTCGAAAGAAGGCTGCCACTGATAACAAGGTCATCGTGTTTTCCATCAGATTGCTATATAGGGTACAAACGAAGCAGATGATTAAGCCAACAAAGAGAACTGGGGAGATTGTACGAACGAAAGCTTGGAAATTCTTCCTTTGTGAAATGTAAACGTTACTTAGAAATACTGTTATTATATTTTTCTGTTGGAAGTAAATAATAATCGTATTTACAGTCGAATTGGTCGGTGATATATTGGGGGTCAATATACATCGCTGTTGAATAGATATATTTCGTTGGAGATTGGAAATTTATTGTATGATCAAAATTATTGTGGCAAGAAAATTATTACCGACCACAAAATGACCCTATAAATCGTTTATGTTCATTATGAGAGACTTTTGTGCAAGAATTAATTAATACAAATTGATTTTACTTTAAAAGTGTAAAATACTTGGGGATTTTGGGGTCTTTGGGGATTGTAGGAAACTTCCTTACCATTTCGACGTTATGCACCGTCGGTAATACAGGCAACGATTCATGGAATTTACCATTGGGTGGTAATCATATCATTTTACCATAAGAGGGCGCTCGAACCCCATTGATTTGAAGTATACCTCGTTTGTGGTACAATTTCGTGTATCAAATGACTCGTATACCTCGTCTGTGCAAATGGTATGCATTCACCAATTATAAACTCACTGTTTTTTGTTTATATTATTTCCGCATTTCATTAAAATTCTGAAACAAAAACGTTTACGATTTACTCTGATCATAGTCAGTAAATTTATTTAACATAAATGAACATATTTATTATAATTAATATTTTTGTTAAATAGTTGCAACTTACTTTTAATAAAAATGCAGTTCCAAGTGTTCGATGGAACCTTTTGTTCAAAGACTCTGGGGTACTGTAGAAAACTACCTTATCTGCGCAGCAACGACGAAATTTACCATCGGATGGTTATAATACTGTTTTACCATAAGAGGTCGCTCAAAACTCATTGGTTTTACCCTGTCGGTATTGCAGTTCGTATGATACGAATTTCCGTAAGATGCACAAGTCTATTTTACGTCTCTTTTGTGTCATTATGTATGAAATATACTCTATTATGTGTGAAATATATTTCAGTAACAGCTTGACGTAGTTTGTCTATTTTCTGTGCATGTATTATTTTAAATATATCTAGTTTCTGAGAATTACTTCCGGACACATATGTACACTTTATAGCTGCGAATGCGTCTTATTTTCTGTACGAATTGAAACAGAACAGCTTGCAAAGTTTCGTGATATTTTTGCTGATTCATATTTGTAAATTAGAAAAATACATAAACAAACCTCGATTAGACTAATTTCTTTATTTATCGTTCGCGTTGTAAACCGTCCTTGATAACGTATTCGCCGATACAGGCCATAACATTAACTCCACTTGACTCTCTTTATACATATTCAAAGTCCAAGTTGCAGACAAAGTTCAAACAATTTAGTTTCGCGAATAAAACCTCTCGTACCCATTATTAATCGTCCATATTTCTTTTCAATGTAATGCAAATTGTCGCAACTTGTAATCAAAATTATCATCTGATAAAAAGTTACAAACTATTTCGTAACAAAGATGGCGGCCATTTTATTAGAACGCTTTGGAACTGTTCCATTTAGTGTAAATTTGAGAATTACAATGGATCATAATATGCATTCTTGTATTATAAATATATTTATAAAACAAAATGGAGTCGTTCACCAGTTGGCCCATTAGCTCAGTTGGTTAGAGCGTCGTGCTAATAACGCGAAGGTCGCGGGTTCGATCCCCTCATGGGCCATACTTTTTTTCAAACTGTTTGTTTACTAATTATATATTTTATTTTCCTCGAAACGCGATACGAAATACGTAAACTACGGACTTTATTAAGCCATATCAAATTTCACGGTGTCGACACTACTTCCTCTTCAATTTACCACTTAACGATCATCAATCCCACAAAAATATACACGTGAACATGACACGGCCACATACTATATCTTGTTACAACGATAAGATAATAATTGCTTCTATGAGATATCCACGCGCGTGTCCAATTCGTAAATACATCGAAAACATAACATTTCGAGGGCTTTAACAAACCAACCCCAAGTTTAACAACAAAATAAGAGCTTTTTACAATTTATAAAAATTTTTTTATAATTTTTCAATCCTTTATAACGAGACTAAATAATCCTCAAATAATTCGTAGACAGTAATGTTTCGAAGAGATATTTCTCGAGATTATTCTATGTTAAACACGAAAATTTATAGATCAATTTTGAAAGGAAATTTTTAGATTTACATATTCCTTAATTTCTATTAATTTTATAACAATTTCTTCCTATTCTTAAAAGTAGCATAACATCGCGTGTTATAGGTGTGCAGGTGATAAAAATGCGGCAAAATAAATTCGCCATGATTTCACGGGAATTTCCTACGGTTCAGGGGCGTACATTCCATGAAGCGTAACCTCCCCCTCGAATGGGGGAAAGGGTAGAGAGTGTTTTGCGCTTGCCCTTCGCTACAGACGCTTCGTGTGTGTGTCCCTATGCAGTTAAAGGGGTTCACACCACCACGTTCACGGGACCTATCGATCTGCCCGCAAGCTGAGCTTTCTTTGGCCAAAGCTGACGTCACTGGTGGCCGTTGATAGGCGGAATACGTCCGTGAGCGGCCGCCATTGGCTGCCGAGCCGGTATAAACGGTGCTTTCACGGTAACCTGTTCCAGTTGTGTTGTTATCCACTCACAGTACACTTGGTAAGTACGTCTCAAAATTATTTCCCTTTGCTGCTTCAATCATTAGTTTAACAATTTTCTTTTTAACTCGTTAACAAATATTTATTTTTTTATCAGCTAGCATTTGGCCTATTTTCAAAATCTTCGACGTCGATTTCGCAATCCGGTGTTATCGTGCTCACGACCACCGACAGATTACTTTGATTTATTCATTTCGACGAACAGCTACGGTTCTTAAATATTCCATGCGGTCTACGAAGAAATCGAACTGGCGAGCGCCTCGGGTTCCCTACTTCCGGTCAAATCGCGTGACAGATACGTTATAATTCGCAGCGTCGTTGTATTTGCGTATTTCTATTTCGAAATTGACAATTCCGCAGAGTTTGGTGCAATGCATATGCGCGAATAAGTCAAATTCGCTGCATCGATTCGTCAAACCCGCACTGGTCGGCGCAGTTAATTCTATGAGAAATATTCGTTCTGGGACACGCATCGAGGAACAATTAGGTCGAGGTTCATTGAAAAAGAAAGAACAAAGGAATCGGTGTTGCAAATCGTTAAAAAATGTCCCAAACGATCGCTATTTCGAGTTTGAAAGTGTTCGAAACGACATACGAACTCGTTTCATGCACGCTATAGCTATCGTGTTCGCGTCAAGGATAATCAATATTGTACTCGCACCTTTCCACTGTATTCTCGTGCGCAAGGATATGGCAGGAACTGCGCCTTTTCGAGGCATTCCTGGGTACATTAGAAAGCAAGATAAAACTCTCGAGGATCGTATGCAATCTTAATATAGTCTTTTGCGAGCAACAAGCATGGAAAATAATTTTTAAACAAAAAATTTCGAAGTAAAAAAATCGTCAAAAAAATGTCACTCCTCGAGAATGCAAATGGAATTAAAATTAGTTGGAAATTGAAACGTGTTAAATGATAAGTCGAAATTTTTCCATATTCTCCAATCGATGGCACGGAGCGTGGGTGGAATTAAACTTTGTATATAATGGAATTGACAACTGAAGGTTGCAGCAAGCGGTTCTCAACGTCCACAATTCTGACTTTCTTAGTTAACATACAATCGTTTACGAACTAAAAATAAACGCTAATTATTTTTTATTATTCGTTCACGCTAGAACTACCAGAGCACAAAATTAGTAAAAAATATACTCTACTGAATTTTCGAAAATTGACTACAATTTTGCTACAAGAGAATGAACATTTCAATAATTAATTTAATAACAATAATCAGTAGTAGTAGCGTTGAATAAATATAAATGCAAAACAGTGACCTTTGAGCTAACAAAAAAGTTCTAGAATGGTGGACGAAAAGAACCCCCACCACGTTACAATGGGGCGCCGTAGTGGTGGGGGTAGCGCAAGAGTGGGGGTAAAAGCCGCCAGTTCGGTGTCCCTGGATTGTTCGATAAGATAATACCGAGCTCTCGCTGGCCGTTGTCCAATATTTTCTCTGCGAGTTCTATTTTCGCGACCACGGTCGCCTAAGTTCGGCTGCCCACGCGTAACCGTCGCGAAACGTCAGACGCAGCGGTGTGCATCGATTGCATAAATGTTGAACGTGGGAAACGCGATAATCCCTCCGAGACTAAACACAATTTGACCGCCTCGCGATAGTCTTCGATACTCCGATTAACTTCGTTTGTTGGTAAATAGTCGACTATCGCGCGCGCGCGCGCGCGCGTGTGTGTGTGTGAGTGATCGATTACATTAAGATACATCAATCATTGGACTTTAACAACGACGATTTTGAATATAATTTTTTTTGTTTTTTTTTCAGAAGAATAGTATGTATAAAGTACTTCACAATCAAGACATCAAACACGAGTGTTCGCGGTCTGGGGGACTGCATGCGTATCCTGATCACTTCAGGGAACCTAAAAAGCTCCACCTCTAAATCAGCCGTTCGCTAAATGATCATCTAAAGGTTCCTGTCCTCCGGTAGGACACTGTATATAGTGTACATATCGCTTTTCTAACAAAGGATCTCGCTCAGATAATCCGAGCAAGCTCGAAGGATCGTACACAAGTCACGCGGGGATCCGAAGGAGTCGAGAATACACGAAACGTTTGCATTATACTTCCCCCGCACGCAACAACCCAACAAGCACCTGTCGAACAACAAAGAGCAGAAAATGAGCACGAAAGCGACAACCGACTCCTGGGTCAAGTTTCTCACTGCAGGCACCGCAGCCTGCATTGCTGATCTAGCTACATTTCCACTGGACACAGCAAAAGTCAGAATGCAGGTAACCAGCTAAACTATAGACAAGTATCATTCTACTGCAACTGTGAATCATATTCATAAATTTACAAATATTTAGTAGAAACAGTTAGCTATCTATTGCAACCAGAAGCTGTTGTATGTAGTGATTGCTCTATGCAAATACACTTTTCTTCATCTTGCTATCTATGAAATGTAGCTCATCAGTTAGGTACCTAACCAGAAGCTATTGTACATAGTGATTGCTCCATGCAAATACACTTTTCCATGTGTGATTTTCTTCATCTTGCTATCTAGGGAATGTAGCTCGTCAGTTAGGTACCTAACCAGAAGCTGTTGCACATAGTGATTGCTCTATGCAAATACACTCTTCCATATGACTTTCTTCATCCCAGTGTTTAGGGAATGTAGCTCATCAGTTAGGTACCTAACCAGAAGCTGTTGTACGTAGTGATTGCTCTATCCAAATACACTTTTCCATGTGTAACTTTCTTCATCTTACTAACTATGGAATGTAGCTCATCAGTTAGGTACCTATTGTAACTAGAAGCTGTGGTACATAGTGATTGCTAGATGCAAATACACTCTTCCATGTGTGACTTTCTTCATCTTACTGTCTATGGAATGTAGCTCATTTGTATAGACACTTAATAGCAACAGTGAGTTGCCTATTGTAAGCAGCTACTCTGCACATAAAGAGATCACACATTTCTTTATCTTACTATCTATGGAATGTAGCTCATCAGTTAGGTACCTAACCAGAAGCTATTGTACATAGTGATTGCTCCATGCAAATACACTTTTCCATGTGTGATTTTCTTCATCTTGCTATCTAGGGAATGTAGCTCGTCAGTTAGGTACCTAACCAGAAGCTGTTGCACATAGTGATTGCTCTATGCAAATACACTCTTCCATATGACTTTCTTCATCCCAGTGTTTAGGGAATGTAGCTCATCAGTTAGGTACCTAACCAGAAGCTGTTGTACGTAGTGATTGCTCTATCCAAATACACTTTTCCATGTGTAACTTTCTTCATCTTACTAACTATGGAATGTAGCTCATCAGTTAGGTACCTATTGTAACTAGAAGCTGTGGTACATAGTGATTGCTAGATGCAAATACACTCTTCCATGTGTGACTTTCTTCATCTTACTGTCTATGGAATGTAGCTCATTTGTATAGACACTTAATAGCAACAGTGAGTTGCCTATTGTAAGCAGCTACTCTGCACATAAAGAGATCACACATTTCTTTATCTTACTATCTATGGAATGTAGCTCATCAGTTAGGTACCTAACCAGAAGCTGTTGTACATAGTGATTGCTCCATGAAAATACACTTTTCCATGTGTGATTTTCTTCATCTTGCTATCTAGGGAATGTAGCTCGTCAGTTAGGTACCTAACCAGAAGCTGTTGCACATAGTGATTGCTCTATGCAAATACACTCTTCCATATGACTTTCTTCATCCCAGTGTTTAGGGAATGTAGCTCATCAGTTAGGTACCTAACCAGAAGCTGTTGTACGTAGTGATTGCTCTATCCAAATACACTTTTCCATGTGTAACTTTCTTCATCTTACTAACTATGGAATGTAGCTCATCAGTTAGGTACCTATTGTAACTAGAAGCTGTGGTACATAGTGATTGCTAGATGCAAATACACTCTTCCATGTGTGACTTTCTTCATCTTACTGTCTATGGAATGTAGCTCATTTGTATAGACACTTAATAGCAACAGTGAGTTGCCTATTGTAAGCAGCTACTCTGCACATAAAGAGATCACACATTTCTTTATCTTACTATCTATGGAATGTAGCTCATCAGTTAGGTACCTAACCAGAAGCTGTTGTACATAGTGATTGCTCCATGAAAATACACTTTTCCATGTGTGATTTTCTTCATCTTGCTATCTAGGGAATGTAGCTCGTCAGTTAGGTACCTAACCAGAAGCTGTTGCACATAGTGATTGCTCTATGCAAATACACTCTTCCATATGACTTTCTTCATCCCAGTGTTTAGGGAATGTAGCTCATCAGTTAGGTACCTAACCAGAAGCTGTTGTACGTAGTGATTGCTCTATCCAAATACACTTTTCCATGTGTAACTTTCTTCATCTTACTAACTATGGAATGTAGCTCATCAGTTAGGTACCTATTGTAACTAGAAGCTGTGGTACATAGTGATTGCTAGATGCAAATACACTCTTCCATGTGTGACTTTCTTCATCTTACTGTCTATGGAATGTAGCTCATTTGTATAGACACTTAATAGCAACAGTGAGTTGCCTATTGTAAGCAGCTACTCTGCACATAAAGAGATCACACATTTCTTTATCTTACTATCTATGGAATGTAGCTCATCAGTTAGGTACCTAACCAGAAGCTGTTGTACATAGTGATTGCTCCATGAAAATACACTTTTCCATGTGTGATTTTCTTCATCTTGCTATCTAGGGAATGTAGCTCGTCAGTTAGGTACCTAACCAGAAGCTGTTGCACATAGTGATTGCTCTATGCAAATACACTCTTCCATATGACTTTCTTCATCCCAGTGTTTAGGGAATGTAGCTCATCAGTTAGGTACCTAACCAGAAGCTGTTGTACGTAGTGATTGCTCTATCCAAATACACTTTTCCATGTGTAACTTTCTTCATCTTACTAACTATGGAATGTAGCTCATCAGTTAGGTACCTATTGTAACTAGAAGCTGTGGTACATAGTGATTGCTAGATGCAAATACACTCTTCCATGTGTGACTTTCTTCATCTTACTGTCTATGGAATGTAGCTCATTTGTATAGACACTTAATAGCAACAGTGAGTTGCCTATTGTAAGCAGCTACTCTGCACATAAAGAGATCACACATTTCTTTATCTTACTATCTATGGAATGTAGCTCATCAGTTAGGTACCTAACCAGAAGCTGTTGTACATAGTGATTGCTCTATGAAAATACACTTTTCCATGTGTAACTTTCTTCATCTTGCTAACTATGGAATGTAGCTCATTAGTTAGGTACCTATTGTAACTAGAAGCTGTTGTACATAATGATTGCTCTATGCAAATACACTCTTCCATATGACTTTCTTTATCCTAGTGTTTAGGGAATGTAGCTCATCAGTTAGGTACCTAACCAGAAGCTGTTGTACATAGTGATTGCTCCATGCAAATACACTTTTCCATGTATGATTTTCTTCATCTTGCTATCTAGGGAATGTAGCTCATCAGTTAGGTACCTAACCAGAAGCTGTTGCACATAGTGATTGCTCAATGCAAATACACTCTTCCATATGACTTTCTTCATCCTAGTGTTTAGGGAATGTAGCTCATTTGTATAAACACTTAATAGCAACAGTGAGTTGCCTATTGTAAGCAGCTACTCTGCACATAAAGAGATCACACATTTCTTTATCTTACTATCTATGCCATGTAGCTCATTAGTTATGTACCTAACCAGAAGCTGTTGCACATAGCGATTGCTCCATGCAAATACACTTTTCCATGTATGATTTTCTTCATCTTGCTATCTAGGGAATGTAGCTCATCAGTTAGGTACCTAACCAGAAGCTGTTGCACATAGTGATTGCTCAATGCAAATACACTCTTCCATATGACTTTCTTCATCCTAGTGTTTAGGGAATGTAGCTCATCAGTTAGGTACCTAACCAGAAGCTGTTGTACGTAGTGATTGCTCTATGCAAATACACTTTTCCATGTGTAACTTTCTTCATCTTGCTAACTATGGAATGTAGCTCATCAGTTGGGTACCTATTGTAACTAGAAGCTGTTGTACATAGTGATTGTTAGATGCAAATACACTCTTCCATGTGTGACTTTCTTCATCTTACTGTCTATGGAATGTAGCTCATTTGTATAAACACTTAATAGCAACAGTGAGTTGCCTATTGTAAGCAGCTACTCTGCACATAAAGAGATCACACATTTCTTTATGTTGCTATCTATGGAATGTAGCTCATCAGTTAGGTGCCTAACCAGAAGCTGTTGTACGTAGTGATTGCTCTATGAAAATACACTTTTCCATGTGTAACTTTCTTCATCTTGCTAACTATGGAATGTAGCTCATTAGTTAGGTACCTATTGTAACTAGAAGCTGTTGTACATAATGATTGCTCTATGCAAATACACTTTTCTTTACCTTACTGTCTATGGAATGTAGCTTATTTATAAATATTTAATAGTGACAGTTACCTATTGTAAGCAGTTACTCTGCACATAGAGAGATCACACATTTGTCTATGTGACTTACTTAATTTTACTGTCTATTGAATCTATCACATTTGTAGACATTTAATAGTGACAATTACCTATTGTAATCAGTTACTTTGAACATAGAGTGATCACACATTTGTCTATGTGACTTCATTTTACTGTCTATGGAATTGTGACGTTGCCTCCCAAGCTCACCGCCAGAGGGTTCGCGTTCTCACAAGTGCTCGACCGACCTCTCAGTTGCTATATATACTTCCTAATATCCCAGTAGCTAAAGTAGGGCCTGCTAGAAGGCCTTAGTGACACGAATCCACTAGCAGGCCCAGACGAAACGCACCCCTTTTCTTTTCCTTTTCCTTTTCTGTCCTCCTATGAATTTTCTGAGTTCCTACCTTCAGCTAAGTAGTACCTACACAATCTATCACATTTATAAACATTTTTAGCGACAGCTACCTATTGCAAGCTCCTTGCACATAGAGTAATTGCCCATTTCTCTATTTCCTTTCTCCATCTCTATGGAACATAATACAATTCGCAGATTGCTGGAGAAACACGTCCACTGCTGGTGGCATCGGTGGACGGTTCCATGCTAGCAATGAGAAACTCGCAACCAGGATTATGGAGGACAGTAGAGAGCATCGTCAGACTCGAGGGAACAAGGTACGTTGTTCACGATCCTAACGTAATTATAAGTGAAACAAAAGGGTACGTAAAACCATGCTGATTGTATATAGATAAAATTGCGCACGGTGTACAACTCGAAACTCGAATCGCGAGGATCTGAATTTTAAATTCCGTGCTCGCCTGTCACGCAGGGCCGTTTTAACAAATTGCAATTAGATCGCAATTTACTCTCTCTGGCTAAAGATTCTCGGTAGTCCGCAATTTCCTGTCGTTGGCGACGTGAACGGTTGCTAGCTATAACTGCTCTGGGCTGATCGACGCCTCCGTCATTGTCGTGCTCTAAAAAAACGATCTAATTATACTTGGCGGGGAGCCTGGCCGCGCGTTACGCTAACGTACATTATTTGATCGCGCCTGGTCGAAACGAACGATCGCAATCGCTGATAAAATCCATCTTCCGACGAGCTTTAATCAGGATCGCTCGTCTCGCTCGAGCATTGACAACGGCAGAGGGAGATCGACTGGCATGATCACGGCAATGGATTATCGCGATATAGAAGCCTGATAAATACGCTGACGCAACGACGAGCTAATTACTTTTCGGATTAGTATTGTTCCTTTAACCTACGCTTATATTGGATTTACCTTTTCCTTTCTTAGCCTCGGTACGATCTACGCAGCGAGCGCCATCGACTATTTCAAGTCACTAGACTGCTGACATATTTACAAATTTATAGAAAATTTTTTCAAAATTTAGGGGTTGATGAGACAACCCTCTACAAATCTCCCGTTTAATTGATTCTCTAAAAATATATCCGCAGTCTAGCTATCACAGAATTGTATTTGAAAATATAAAACACCATTTTTACTTCTTTGAATACGAGTCTATGGCGCTCCTCGTCGTCTACCTTATTGTTTCTTTTCTCTCTCTTGCACGCGCGAGGTGTCTTTCCCAGCCTGCGTGCAACTTCAACAGCGACACCCGGATAACTGTAAACCATTTCTAAATCGTTCGCTGGTTTGAACTTGAACGCGAGGGAAGACGCCCCGCGGCACCTGAAGAACTGTCTCCCCCTCCGAGAAACTCTTTTTATTTCCGTTCTTATTTATTTCTGTTTCATTTTGCCTTTGCTCAGTTACAGTTTCCCTTATTTTGTCCGTTCACGATCACTGGTTGCGCCGCGAATTCGATGTGTAACCGTGTCCAGCTCTCTCGGCCCGAAGCTCTCTCCCAGTTAACTCAAATTGGCCCTCCGTGCCATTCTCTCGTTTGCCTTTTTGAAACGTAAATCATTAAATACTGGAGGAAAAAGGGAGAGAGACAGATCATTGATCGAGCACCGGTAAAAGTAAATTCTAAACGAAGGGGAGGAAATTAGAGAGGGAAACAGAGAGAGAGAGAGAGAGAGAAAAAAAAAAATCGAAAAGAATGTTAAAAAAAAAAAATATATACCCTGGGATACGTTTGAGGGTAAATTGTGAGGGCGGTGAGCTTGAGCGAGGGTGGTTACAGGAGCCTGTACGGAGGTCTGTCCGCGGGACTCCAGAGACAGATGTGTTTCGCCAGCATACGGTTGGGCCTCTACGACACGGTGAAGGCATACTACGCTGGAATCATCGACGGTACATCCAACAAACTCCTAACTTTTTGATTACGTAATTCTTACGATAACAATCGAGTAGAGATTACGCGTGCAATGCGCCCACACACGCCACGTCTCTCTGTGTTACACGAATGAGTATACAGAACGCGTAAGTAACAGCCGAGGTGGTACGACGATCCGCCACGTGGCGCTTTACGACGAGGATGGAGCTTCTCTCGCAAGCTACCGCGTCGAGCTGCCTTCGCGCGAATCCGTAACGCAGCGTTCACTTTTTCCTTTCGCTTAATCTCGTTTTTCCTGGTTCGTGTCTGCGAGTGTCGAGTATGTATCGAGCAAGCGAACGAGGAGAGTCCTCGGAATCTGCGTATTGGACGAGAGAGAGAATATCTTTTTTCTAATTTCATAATGGGGGGATTTGAAAGCTGTTTTGTCAAAAGAATCCCAGGATTTCTTTTCCTCGTTAATATGATTTCGATCGAAAGCTACTATAATTTTTAATTCGCGTGGAACTGTCCAAGTTAACTTCCTCGACCCGATAACAATTTTTCTCGCATACTCGCTAAAAAATGGACGCACCCTCGATCAACAGAAGCGTCTCAATTTGTTAACAATTTGCATTTCAATTTTTCCCCCGATTCGTTCATCCAGGATACGTCCACTTGAATCGGTTTGAGCCGCCATATTGTATAATCTCTCGCAGTAGCGGCGCGTAAAGTTCCGTTTAAAAGCATCGACATGTACGCGTACTTATGATTGTAATCAGTAAGCTTAATAAACGGTGATTAACCCGCGCAGAGCGCGATCTGTTCCCCCACCCTGCATCCCCTGTTTACGACTTAAGAGTTACAACATATACGCATTTCTCGAAAAAAGATTGAACCCCGCTACGACGACGGATATTCACCGTTTGCTTTTGCGTTGCCAGGTAATAACAGAAGCGGCGTGACGAAGAATATACCCGTGCGCGTCGCCGCTGGAATCACGACGGGCGCCATGGCGGTGCTACTCGCTCAACCGACCGACGTCGTCAAGGTTCGACTGCAGGCCGGAAATAATGGACGGTCGGCGGTGAGGTACAGCTCGACCTTGCAAGCGTACAAGAATATCGCTGCTGTGGAAGGCACACGGGGCCTCTGGAAAGGTACACCATCCTCTCTTCTCAACCTGCAATCCATACAAAAATTAGAAATTGGAAATTGGTATTCTTGATTTTCGTCTTATTATGGCCTCTAGAGTTCCCCATTTTACCCAGGAGTAGTCTCAACACCTTTTATAAGGGGGCTCACTCGAGCACTTGCGAGAAAGTCGATAGCGTCGAGAGCGTGGCCCTCTAGCGGCGTGAACAAGAGACAGACTACTTATATTGATATTTTGGCCTGTAGAATTCCTTGATTTTACCCGGGAGTGGTCCCTCAACACGCTTTATAAGAGGGCTCGCTCTCGAGCGCTTGCGAGAGAGTCGATAGCGTCCAGAGCGTGGCCCTCTAGCGGCGTGAACAGGAGACAGACTACTTATATTGATATTTTGGCCTCTAGAATTCCCCGATTTTACTCAGGAGTAGTCTCAACACGCTTTATAAGAGGGCTCGCTCTCGAGCGCTTGCGAGAAAGTCGACAGCGTCGAGAGCGTGGCCCTCTAGCGGCGTGTACACGTGACAAGCTACTTATATTGACATTTTGGCCTCTAGAATCCCCCATTTTACCCAGGAGTGGCCCTCCCTAACACGCTTTATAAGAGGACTCGCTCGAGCGCTTGCGAGAGAGTTGATAGCGTCGAGAGCGTGGCTCTCTAGCGGCGTAAACAAGAGACAGACTACTTACATTGACATTTTGGTCTCTAGAATCCCTCATTTTACTCAAGAGTGGCCCCCCAACACCTTTTATAAGGTGTCTCACTCGAGCGCTTGCGAGAAAGTCGAGAGCGTGGCCCTCTAGCGGCGCCGTACAGGTGACAAGCTACTTATACTAATATTATTTGTACAGGAACCGTTCCAAACATCTCGAGAAACGCGATCGTGAACGTGGCGGAGGTGGTCTGCTACGACATCATCAAAGACTTCATCCTGGAGTCCGGCTACCTCCGCGACGGTATCCCTTGCTACGTGACGGCCGCGATGGCGGCGGGGCTGTGCACCACCCTGGCGGCGAGTCCCGTGGACGTGGTGAAGACCCGCTACATGAACAGCGCCCCCGGCGAGTACAAGGGCGTCAAGGACTGCACTGTTCGTATGCTGATGAAGGAAGGCCCGTCCGCGTTCTACAAGGGCTTCGTGCCCAGCTTCACGCGGCTGGTGTCCTGGAACATTGTCCTCTGGATCACCTACGAGCAGTTCAATAAATACGCTAGGAAGAACGCCGACAAGTGAATCAACGAGCAGCTTCTGTCGCGGTTTTATATCTCAATCGCGATACTTAGGGATGGGAGGATGTCCGTGTAATGTTTAGAGTTTTTCGATTAGAGTCTGCCGTTGTTCGCCTGATCTTTACAATATCCAATACGTGATTTAATATTACTTTCTTGTACGCTAAAATGCTTTTCTACCTTGAAAACGCATCCATATTGCAAAGCGTGTGTAAACTTTTTCCATAGAGGTGCTTTTTAAACTAGACTTAGACCTTTCTACTATTCCCGATATTAACATTAACGCAAGAGAATTGAAATTTAATAGCAAACAACGGCAGACCGGTTCTCCCATCCATCGTTGTACCTCCATTTTGTTTTCCGTAGTTTGCGAACGCGCGTGCACTCTACTCAATTAAAATTAACAGCTTGTCATTTGGTAAGAAAAAAACGGAGCAAAAATCCGTCAAAAATTTCTTCGAGACATTGGATACAATTGTGATCATTGATCTACAGAGTGCACGTACGATCGAGAAAGTCTTAGGAATCTCTCGATAATCCATAACGAAACATTTCGACTATGTAAGTCGGCTTTAGACGCAACATTGGTAGGATAATAGAAACAGAAAGAGTTTCCCCAAATTATATATACATATACATATATATATATATATATATATATACACAAAAAGTCGCATTATGAAGCACAGACAGACAATAAGATTCCAAGAATTTATTTCGACGTCTTCGCGAAGCTCCGTCGACAAGAGGCACACGCGTATCGTACTTTACAATGATTTACATTTATCTAGACTCCGATCAAGACTCTTTGTCGTTGCACACAGAATCAACGAGGATCCTTCGCTGCTTACGATCGCAAATTGTCTCTTTGCGTAATTTGATTGCTACATTCGCTGGTGATAAATCGCCAGTCTCTCGTTTCGGGTCAATTAATATTGTACAGGGCACAATTTTCATCGAATCTCGATCGAACAACATGTAGTCTGTTTTTTGAAGCTATGTTTACCATCCAATGTACGTTTCACATTAAAGAGCAATTCTTATCTTATTATCACGACTGTGTTTTTGTTCATTTGCATTCAGTCTGTTGCTTTCTCGTTGTTTCGTCATCGAATCCACACACAGCCTACCGAACAGTATTAGTTGACATTGTTGTATCTGTCGTTGATCGACACTCGTTGACTTTTCGACTTAATTTTAGAAATATAGAATTACTTTCTAAATACTCGAAGCCACATTCCTGCACTTGAATTCAAACTTCGGATAGAATGTTTTGAACAAATGAAACGTTGCTGAATTATTGTCAGTGGGAACGTGGCTTGATCTATAGATCTCCGGAATAAGATTGAGTATTCTAGAAACGCCGGGATACCCGCTTAATGTAATTATCTTTTATCAAGTTCTTGAGAAAATACACAAACACGTCGACTCCGAGCATTCCTACCACTTACTGAAATTTTCAAACGTTTTTAGCCTCAGAGAATACCTGAAACATTCCGCCAATTATTATATTTTTATGCACAAAATTTTAATGTGAATTATAAGAGCTTGTATTAAATCTGGCGAGCAGTTTTCGAAAAAGTTTTATTTCCCAGAAAGTACACAGAAGTCGACACACTTTGCGAAGCTTCTGGTTTTGTTATAGAACAGTTAGTCACGAATGAGATTATAAAACACTCAGATCCTGCGAACAAGGCTCTAAAACACTGAATTTCTCGCATTTAAGATAACGACAGGCGGCTTAATTTTCGAGACGTATACAAATAGGAGCTTCTGTTCTAAGTAGCGTGTATCTTCGTAGGTATTACTTAAAATTTGTTACGAGTTTTAAATAAAAATCCTTCAAAGTGTACAGAACGTTCGTTGTACTTTTATTTCGTCGCGACCGGAACAGGTTACAAGTGACCTTTGCGCGAACTTTCAGCGTGGAAGTCCCCGTTCCCTGGATGCAGTCTTTTTAAGTTTCGAAGTCGGACTCGTCGGACTCGCAGCTGGACGAAATCTCATCTTTCATGCACACCGATTCCTCGAGGATGCCTTCACCCATGGGGATCCTAAAACAGACGAAATCGTTAGCTACTATTAGCATAATTAGTATACTCTTCGAGGCTTCGTTGTAAGCAAAATCAACGTCTGACGAGAGTAACATGCTGTTAGTGTTTTGGTCTCCACATTGTTGATTAGTCAATTTTTTCAAATTTCTTCCAGTCTGTTCAGATTGGAAATACCATGCTTATTGCAAATAAAAGCAAGAGTCAACCTTGCCTTAAATCTACTCAATCGTTTGCTAAATCCCAACGATATGGCAGACCGCGGGTTTGTCTTGAATGCATTTCGGAACCCTGCTGGAGGATTTCCGGAAAACGCATTTCCGCGGACAGCAGGCCTCCACTAGCAGGGACCTGGGTTCAACAACACTTTGATGAGATGATCTTAACAATTTCTGTCGTGTACCACTGGTTAGCAAAGATTCCTAAACACTGAGCAATCTATAACGTACTTATCTATGCTCCAGTCGTCGCCACACTGGTTCATCATGGACAGAGCCTGACAGAAGTCTTGCCCAATAGTCTTCAAGTGTTGAGTGTCCAGGTGCAGACCAGCCAAGGATCCTTGGTCGCATCCGCAGAAGCTGCTCTCCATCGTGTAGCTCCTGCATGAAAACCGATATTAGAGATTCTGAGGGGATTGAAAGCACTGTCAAGTGAAGTACCTGGGAACACCCAGCTGACGCCATATGGCTACCCTGGCGGTGGACTCCTTGTTCCTCTCGACCTTGAACGAGCACAGTGGCAACGCGAACGCCGGGGATATCCTCTGCATCAGGTGCGGCAACATCTGAAACATGGACGAGTTTCAGCACAAAAGGAAGATCCTTGGGGAATAAAAAATTGAAACGCAACTATTAGATGGTCTCAGAGGCTTGTCGAAGGAGGATCGTGAATTGACATGGATAGATCGCGTTAGATTACCGTTCGTAGCAACGTACCCATTGGCGGGTACGTGTAACGCGTACGATCTAAAAATAATACCTAGCCGATCCTCTTTCGTCCCTTACCAAATACTGCACCGGCTGGTCCGGTTTCGCCCTGTCCGCGGCGCTCCAAGAACCCGACCTTGAGCAACCAAAGAGAAACACGTTTTTCCTCCGTGAATGGCCGTGGTAGTCGACGAAAACATGGGGAGGTCTCTGCAGGACCCTGGTGCAGTACTCCATCAGGCCCTTTGTGTGGTAGATCACCGGATGAAGCACCTGATTCGGGTTGCTCCATCGTCTGTTGAGGTCCTCGTTCGTCAGCCCGTAACGATTACTGTAATCGATAAAATGCACAGTTTGGTGCATGTTCGTGACTAGAGTGAGAGAGGGTAGATTGTTTATTTATATCGTTCGCCATCGAATGGTAGAATTACGGCTCGAGGTTTCTTTCTATGGCGGCCGTGTAGCGCTAAATCAATTTCTCGGAAGCACAGTTTTAGAATTCCCCTGCGGTTTGCACGTCGATGCTGGTGCACGTTGTGGCTCGTCAGGTTGCACTCGAGGAGAAAGGCCTTGTCGGAGATCGTCTTCATTTAAGGATTCAGCCACGGTTAGAAGGACGTTTCCGGCGGCCGGAAGTCGGGCCGGAGGAAGTGACGCCTCCGCGTCGCGCATAGCTAATGGTGGGGCACTTGTGGACCCCTTGGCAATGCCCGGGGACACCGACGCCTCGTTTTCTACCTGTCGTCTGACATTGTTTCCAGATGTACACGGTGCCCCATACTTGGAATACCAAGTATGGCTAACGATTTTTCAGTCCTACGAACTCTTACGTTGTTAATTAGCCACGATTTTATTTTGATGTAAACAAGAATTTAAGTGGCCAGTCTCAAAATGGTACTTGGGAATGGTATGGAGAAATTGGAGTTTGTGAACTTTTTTACCGATCTACCGATTTTTTTCTCCTTTCAAAGTAGCTATCGTTTCAAACTCTGACGTTTTAACGATTTCCTCACAACAAACAAAAATCTACAAACTGGAAACAGTATGGAGAAATTGGAGTTTGTGGCTTTGGTGTCAACTTTTCTACCGATCTGCCGATTTTTCCCCCCTTTCAAATTTCGATTTCGTCACTATAAACAAGAATTTAAGCCTCGAATCCCAAAATGGTACCTGGAAGAAGCAGTATGGAAATTGGAGTCTGTGGCTTTGGTGTGAATTTCTCTACCGATCTACCGATTTCTTTCCCCTTTCAAAGTAACTATAGCTTCAAACTTTAATGTTTTAATGGTTTCGTCACTATATAAACAAGAATCTACAATATAGAAACAGTATGGAAACTGCACTTTGGTGAGCATTTCTACCGATCTACCGATTTCTTTCTCCTTTCAAAGTTGCTATCGTTTCAAACATTGAAGTTCTAACGATTTCCTCACTATAAACAAAAATCTACAATATAGAAACAGTATGAAAACTGTACTTTAATTTATACCGATTTTTTTTACCGATCTCGACCGATTTCTTTCCCCTTTCAAAGTAACTATCACTTCAAACTCTAACGTTTTAACAAATCTACAATACGAAAACAGTATGGAAACAACACTTTAAATTTATACCGATTTTTTTTACCGATCGACGATTTCCTTTTCCCAAAGTAATCGTAACTTTTACGAAAGTCAAGAGAGAGTGAAAAATAATTGTCACCGTTTACGGAAGCTCTCGAGAAGTCGCTCGATGTACGATTAAACAATCGTTACACGCGTAACCGCGGACAGGAATCGTCGATCGTTCATCCGATCGAGACATCGTCCACGTAATACAAACATTAGCAATTTGACGCCTCGTAATCGCTTCCGGTCTTTAAGACGGTTCGAGACGACGCGTGACACGTCCAAGATAGCGACGTAACGATCGGTATCTCGCGTTCGGGGACAGATGGCGGGGAATAATAAGAATAATGGCGGCCCGGTGACGGCGCACCTGCGAATAATGGCGCGTCGCGGACGTTTGCTCGTAGAAATCGTCGAAAAGGACGAGTCATCGGGCATAATAGATTTCGTCCGGCCGGGAATAAGCGCGACGGGCGAAAAAAACCCCGGGGAACAGCGCGTTAAAACTAAATCGAATCGCGTCTCTACAGGGTGAACGCGTACCGAAATGATAATAAAATAGCAGAAAAATTTTTAAACCATAAAATCCTACCTACGATTTTTACCAACCCAATGCATCCAAAAAAAATTCTATTGTAAGCAATAAAACGTCCAACGATCGACGTGCAAATGCGAATCGATTAAATAATCCGCGACTGAGCAAAACGAAGAACGTTTTCTATTCGTGAACGACAATGAAGCGATTGTACGGGCAGCTTCTTTGCCGTTTTATTGGCCACCCGATGTAATGGGCAACATCAGTCTGTTCGTGCCAGCAGCGCGATGTCAATGACTTGAACGGAGGAGCCTTGACCGCGAACTTCTCTCACCTCTTGAGAGATCCTGTACAAATTACACTTAACCGACCGCTCAACTCGTACTTGCTGCGTGAGATTTTCAAAGGTACCGCCTTCGTGCAAACCGGGGGAACCGTAAAAAAGAAATCCCCCCTCCGGGTGAATTATTCGGCCGCCCGTTCGATCGCGATTAACGAGCGTCGATCTCGTCAATTTATTATTTAATCGACCGGGTAAATCACGGAGGAAACGTTCCAGGCTCATTGTCGTTTCGTTGGTTTTCTTTTTGGAGGATACCAAACGTCCAAGAATTCTAGTGTGATGTATTGCATGGATCATGTGAAAAGTGTCCCCATTGTATTGCATGAATTAAATGAAAAATGCCCCCATTGTATTGCATGGATCAGGTGAAAAGTGTCCCCATTGTATTGCATGGATTATATGAAAAGTGCCCCCATTGTATTGCATGAATCATATGAAAAGTGTCCCCATTGTATTGCATGGATCATATGAACAGTGTCCCCATTGTATTGCATGGATCATGTGAACAGTGTCCTCATTGTATTGCATGGATCATATGAAAAGTGCCCCCATTGTATTGCATGAATGAAATAAAAAATGCCCCCATTGTATTGCATGGATTAAATGAAAAGTGTCCCACGTTTCACTCTCAAGTAAATACACGCATAAGTAAATTCCAATAGAATCGAACGATTTCCAGAATGACGTAAGGCTTGTTTACGAACTAACGGGTCCCCGAATCCCCTACAATTTCATAATCGACGTCCCGTAAATTCCGTTTAAAGATCGTTAATGCCGTTACGCATAATTTTCGTGGCTCGCCTATCTCGTTTGTCCTCCCGTCCCCCGTGGCTCGTGCAATCTCGAAGAGAACACGGGTACTCCGGATCGCGATGCTTCTGAGAACGGTGGAAAGACAGGAGGATGCAGAAAAATTCGCGAGTCGTTCTTACAATCGTAAAGCGAAATCCTTGGGGCACCTTGGGAACGCTCATTTCTTCGTCGTCTTCCACGTATCACGCGTTTCTTCCGTGAACTTTGCCCAGCGACTCGGTTCTATCCTTTATCTCGTCTCTTCTCTCTTTCTGAGAGCAATTATAACTCAGCTTCCCACGCTCGCCGCCAGAGGGCTACGCTCGACTAGTTCCTTTCTCACAAGTGCCTATATTCTACACTCGTTGTTGAATGCCCCGCCAGATTTCTGTGAATAGGGTGACTTTAGCACCCTTCTGAACGGATCAACCCCCTAATATTTTTCAAAATGAATAATTCTAAAATAAAATCAGTTCTTCATTTGTTAAATTTGCAACTATTTTACGCGCTAATTTGGCTCATTTTAGTGTCTTTTAGGGAGGTTTGCACCCCCATTTTGCGATCTAGCTCAACAAAAACGACGATACTCAATTTTCAATGCCTCTTTTCGTCCTAAAAAGACTAGATTCGTTTCACAAATGCTTCACGAACCCAAAAATGTGTCGATTTTAATACTTCTGACGAGTCAAATTGCACTCTCAATGTCACTTAACCTATTAAATAAACATCCCCCTAAATCCAGTGACCCAAAATCGTATAACCTATTAAATAAACATTCCCCAAAATCGTCCACCATCCTACACGGTGGTCCCAAAGTTTCTCATCGCGCGAGGGGTCGTAAATCCAAAGAAAAAAAGGTGCCCCCCTCGATCCTCGACTAATTGCAGAGCCTCTGGGGGCTAATAAAGTGTTATACGGTAACGGAGGAATCCGCGTATCATGAGGGACACGCGAGTCAGCGGCGAGCGTTAAATTTGTCGCGGTGTATCGGCTTTTAAACGTGCAAATTACCCCGATGCACCTTCGTGTAGCTCCTGCGGTTATCTCCAGTGTCCCCCCCGTCCCCCCTCTCGCGTGTATCAGTGGGCCGGTTTTAAGATCGTTCGTCGAGTTTGCGCGGGCGCGGGCGGCAACAGGAGCAACCCGACGCGGGAGCACGAGAGGTATCTTTATAGCGTCAGCGATAGGAAAGGAACCGAGTGACATTCGTTCTGGGCCCGCTGAAGGGCTAACCGCGCATTAGAATACTCGTGACCAGTCCCGATTTGCATTCCTTCGCGAAACCAAGGCCTCGGGAGAGAGAGAGGGGGGGCCCGTTTTTTAGGGCCCCGTCGGAACAGGGCGGATGGAATTCATTTTGCCCCGGCTTCTTTAGCGCCCCGGAGCCCTTTCGAAGTCCTTTATCCGTGGCGACGGGACGAGAATGGCATTTTACTGTAATAACGTTTCGTTAAATCGCGACAAAAAGGATCGCAAATCAATCCCGGATGGGTTATTCGCCGAGATTCGTTTAACGAAGAGTGGAAATACCCGTAAAAAAAATACGAGTGATTTATGTGACTCATTGTGTTCCGAGCCCTATGGCACGGCCGTGAAATAAATGGGTACTCTTCGATGCAAAGGAATTGGATTTTTTTGCATTCGTTGAACACACACACGTTCTGCCTCTTGCGTTTCCTATAAATCATCGATTTCGAGTTCGATGTACCCTGTTCCATCGATCTTTCGCGAGATCCGTGTTTTTACGAAGGAAAAGTACAACGGTACTCTTTCGGTTTCGAGGCTCTAAAGTCCAAGGACGAGTTCCGTGTTCCGTCATCCGGGAACCTCGCCTCGACCGTGACCGCCTGTGCAATATTTTCACACACCGTGTATCCCCCCCCCTTGGGCCTGGAACCGGCCCAGAATAAATCTCGAGATTTAATTTCAGATTTTAGATTGTCCCAGCTAATTTAGAGGCCCCTGCGGGTTCCCTGGAATTCTAGGAAATACCGAGAAATTGGGCCCCTCGGATACGATTAAAAAGAATCGTTAAAGAATTTTTTGACAGGCTG